TTAAATATATGTGTCGACTAGACTATTTCGTGGATTTCTTCAAACAGCTCGTATAAGGTTAAGTCGATAATTTTGTTTTAACATCGATATACTTATTATCTAAAAAAGAACAAAACTCTTTTAATAACCAAATAATAATAAAATAGAATAAATATATAAATAATGTATGTATGTGTATTTTTATTTAATTATGCATGTTTATCGTTGTTTATTCTCTATTTTTTCTGATTTGTTTTTTAATGTCTTTAACCAAAGGGTTGTTTGAAAGAGATCGTTTAGCGATAAAATCATCGCCTTTTCTATCACTTCATATAAACTATTTACTGTAATCCATACTATTTTTACCTGGTACAATAAAGTGTAAATGAATATAAGTCTTCATACAATTTCAGTGACTTGTTGTTTTCCTATAACAGATAAGAATAATCGCAGCAACAGCGCTATAATTTCACGTGGGAAATTACTACGTAGGCAGATAGGATGTGCTTTGGTAATCCAACGACATGTATAATTAGTTTGGGAAGTGCCGGAAATATACGAGTGTGCAAATTCCGTACGTCTGTGTACCATGTAATTGTGCATCACATTAATATGTGGATTTTTCAGAGTTGGAATGTCTATATCATCTGTGGCGGTTTTTTAAATAAATAAAAATGGAATAATACACCATTAATGCTATAAAATGATGGGGCATAAGTGAAGGATGAAACGATGAGAATAAATCCAAATCAGTTAACCTGTCGTGGCGAATTGAGTAGGAATTCACCACGATAGTTTCCTCCTGGGACCAACGTTAAAGATGACTTGATAGGGTACATTGTTAGTGATGGGAACTGTAGTGTGTATAATATCAAACCTAACTAAACCTATAACTGTATAAAATATATTATTGTCTAATGCAATATATGAGCATTATATTTGAACTTCGGAGTATTCATTCGTTTCCTTAACTACGATTCATATGTGTCGATCTGTCTGCCAAGATACGCGTGTTATATATAAGTGTTAAATATTCTGAACTGATACCATGAAGACCAACCAAGATTTCAAATTAATTTTAATAATTGAAGCTGATGTATAAAAAAGAATGCAAACAGAGTTATAAGTATTTTTCTGTCGATGTTAACACATTTTATTTATAGACCTATATTGTTTTGGTATATATTATTATTATAAGTACAGTATTAAGTATTTTTGTAGATTGCAATTGAAGCTGGTTCTCCATCTTTATATTAATTTTATTCATTTTAAATTTGTATTTCGTATTATACTGGGTTATATTTAAGAAAGTTGAAAATAAGAACTTTTAATATATATATATATATATATATATATATATATATATATAAACAATATTAAATTAAAACAGTGATTAAAAAGTAACACACACATATGCGCATAACATATACACATAATCGTATTATATATATTATACATATATATTTACATTTTGTTCAAATGGATTGCGCAGTACCAGTGAGGGATGATAGATGAGGATGAGGCAGGTCAGTTAGCCCATCGTGACAAATTCAATAATCACGATGGTTTCCAGGGTGAATAGCGTGGAAGACTTGATAGGGTTATATTGCTGGCAATAGAATTGCTAATCTCGATTACTGACAAACCCTTCTCCCCATATATTATATTTTACATTATACTTACATTTATATGTAAAGGTACTAGGTTTGTACAGCCAAAAATTACGAACAACGGAAGGATGAGAAGTTGTCAACTTTACCTTCCATATATCGGGATGACGATACCCTAGCATAATAGTGCATCTAACAATATGACTGACTATGAAGTAAAATGATAAATTATTATTTTTCCCCTTACATATGTAATGATTAAAATTTGAGATTTAATTCGAGAAAACATACAGAAGAATTTAAATTGGAATTATTTTAGAACATTGTGTTTGAAAATTTGATCCTCATACCTAAACACGTAAGAAACAACATGTAGTGCAATATTATGATCAATTCGCGGAATCAGGCAACTGACGATCTAGAGATACATGGGTGGTCGTGTTAGTTCATTCCGATTTAATTGCATTTATTTAATGTGATAAAATTGATATTTATATGAACAATGTGGCGATGCACAGTATAAGTTGAAACTGAGGTTTCAAATTCTGTTGAGTTTATAAATTCCATTCCTTAAGTAAATGGTATTCAGTGATATGTTTATTTGAATTGTAATACGAGAAACTACCAAATAGGTTTTAATATTACGTCTTTATGAAATTCATCATGGATCGATATTTTTTGTCAAGTAACAGTGAAAGATACTATTGATTTTTTTTTTTAATTTTTGAATGAAGATGCGAGGTTAATGAAAGTGGAGAAACGAAACAAAAAAAAAATGATCACATTTATTAAAGAAAAGTTCATATATGCTTCATTTTCTTACAAAAAGTAATAATATTACCTATACCTATGTATGTATAATTTGTAGGTGTGAAAAAAATTAGTGTCATTTACAATATTTTTGTCAAAGTTTGTTTGTTACCTCCAGGCACCTTAACGGCTCAAGCAATTAACATAAAATTTTACAAATATGTATTATTTGGCATAGATAATAACATATGGTATTCTTGTTCCGATCAATCAATATGTTCCAGTCACGAATGAAATGATGCGAGTGCAGCTAGTAAAATTAATATATGTAAATGTATAAGTAAGTTTGCTTATATGTTAACACGTAGCGACTTAACTGTTTAACCAATCGTTATGGAATTTGGCATACTTTGGACACTCAATGTGACGGTTAATCAATCGATATGACCTGGTCACGCAGACAAAATCTCAATTTAAAGGAAATCGGAATAAAATGAGCTGTTTTAATTATATTTTATCGACTTTTCCTTTCTCTTTAAATAATACAATATACTGGATAATATTGAAATTAATAGCATATTTTTAAAGGAGTGTACACCAATTAAACTTAACATTCAAACCAGTGAATAATTGATTAAAGACGACAATAAATGCGTTTCTTTATTATAAAATAATATTTTCCATTGCACAAATTGTATTAACTAAATATATTTTTTTTTCACGGCGGTGAATTAATATAGGTAATATTATGATACATTTTTTTTATTAGTTTGAAGTTTTCATAACTGGGTACAATGCAAGTGTCCTAATTTATATGAAAAAATACCGAATTCAATCCTGGAAAAACCAGTTATTTTTATTTAAAAATTAAACAACGGAACCAAATTTGATAAAATTTCAATGGGACCAATATGAAAGTAAATAAAAAATAATAATTTTCCAAATCTATTTATATATGACGGTAACAAAAATAAAAAATACAACCGAATTGAGGTTGTCTTCCTTTTTTGAAGTCTGTTGAAAAAAAACACTTTATTATTGTAATCTTAATTCTAAGTATTCAAAATATGTAGCCATATTTATTTTTGTAATTTAATATAAGTGGAATATGTGGCAACCTGCTTTCTCACAGTGTCGTAATATAACACAAACTGATAAGCAAACACGACTGACGGCAAGTATCAGAATATATTTCACAAGGAACTACTGATATAAAATGAGCTGACAGAGAGCAAGTACATGTATTTGTGCATCCCGCGGCTATGCCCGTGTGAATCAGTATATAAAATTATCCTCTGTCCTACGTTAGGATGTGTTATGTTCACCATGTATACTTTTGTTATGTAATGAAATATGTATTATATGAAAGTTAAATTAAATAATGTTAGTACGAAATAGGATTGTAATGTTGAATTAAGTGAACTAATGACCCTGAAATAAAACAGAAATAACTAGAAACTTCGTGATGTCAGTCTTCTTGTAACTGTACGTTGTAACTTCTGTAAAGACTGCAAAACTGATAATTTAATAAAAAAAAATTATTTCCACGATTATAAGTTTTATAAGGTTATAAGAGAAAAGCGTATATCACTGAAATATATATTATTATAAATATTAGATACTTTCTGAAATAACGATTTATGAAATAGAAATAATATCAAAAATACTATATCTCTCTATATTCATGCAAAGTACCTTGTTGATTAGGCAGAGAAAACTGAGTGCCATAGAATTTTGTTCTTAAATTATTATTAATAAAAGTCGGAACCATGTTTAATTATACATTAAAATATAATATTGTAATGAAAAATATGTACTTGACAAATTGTTGTAATTATAATTCTATTTACCTTGATTTGATGTATATGTATAATTTCTAAATACGTTATTTCTTAGTTTATGAAACATACTGATACTTTTTCCTTGGTATTGTTTATTGCCATAGTATTGTATTATTCGGGTACAATCTAGTTTAATGTAAATAGATATCATAACAAGTTACAGTTGCCTTACGCAGTAGGTAAACTACGTATGCGCATCCGATTACCTGGTAGGCCAGTATCTGCTCGTACCTACCTGTATCTAACCATATTTAAAGGACTGCATTATCTTTCTATTTCAGTTACGAACAATATTTAGTCAGTGAACGATCGCCTTTATCTCGGGCAGTGTTGACAATTGTGATATATATATTTTTTTTTGTTTAAATAAAACAAGTAAATAACTTTATGAAAGTTTGTAAACGTGTAGTAAAATATGATTTATTGTGACTATATTTACGAAAGAATAAAAACTAAACAGTTCACTAAGTGCGCTCAAAAACGGTAATGGTGTTATTGTATATGTATTAATTTTAGTATTTGCATGCTTTTTCTATTTATATATTTGATATTACGTTTTATTTTTACAAACTTTTAACTTGCTTTAGTTATGAGTAGTATGAAAGTCTGCAATTTTCCTAACTATTTACTGACATCTGGCTGTGTTGAAAATATGACAATACAATATTAAGGTACCCTCAAACTGGTTTGATGATGAAGACGGATGAATTTATAGTATACACGGAAATTACTTCGGTTTAATTCACAGTGATCCTAAGCATAACTGATTTATATTATGTACGTTTCAGTTTAATATAGAACATGCTATTATTGTTTGCAGGGAGTTGGCGAATGCTTGGGGTTGCCACGTGGGCCCCCCCGACCAGCCGGCGCCCGCAGACCGCGTGCAAAACCTCTTCAACGTCATCGAACTGTACCCTACTAAGACCCAAGGTGAATACATATTTACTTTTCTAATATCTAATACAACTTACCTATGCTGGAACGTGTTTATAGGAATTATTCTCTTTTTTACCCGACTGCGACTCAGTTGTGAAGCATTTGGACTATCATGAGTAATTATGACAAATCATAAAAATTAGACAGATATTTTCCAATTTGTCAAATGCAATCGTATGTGAAGCTTCTAAAAACTATTTTTTTTTACATAATTAATAGTTTTCTAATAAATAACTATTCCTAATATCTACCCAACTTCGCTTTTTTTATACAAATTTTATGTACATTATGTTTTGATCTAATAAAATCGATTTTTCATCTCCAAGAAACCCTTATACGGAATTTAATAAAATAATTTAACTCGTTTATGATAAATCCAAACATATTCTTAGTGAGCATATCTGGAACTGTTCAGATATATATAAAAATGGATCCTTGACTTCACGACAGGGAATCCTAGTGTCAAGTCTTGGGAATAGAATGTATAAGTTGCATATTTTTTGTCTCATCCAATTATTATCAACTAGCTGTTTTTTATGATCTTGTTCGGGTACATCAATATATAAAGTGTTCTATATATTAGAATATAACCTACTTGTGTATAAATTTTCATGCAAATCCGTCAAGCTGTTGAAATATGATAGACTGACATCTTTCATATTTATAATACAAGTATTAGTAAGATAAATAAGTTAATGTTACTTTTTAACCGACTACAAAAAGGTGAAGTGCCTTATTGCCTGTATTTTTTGTGTGTAGGTACGTTACTCAATAATCAAGTTTGCACTGACTTTGATAATTATTTTGCTAATTAATGGATTTGTTATTCATTTAGTTTCATATTAATACTTGTATATAGAACTAATTGTTTTCGCAAATTCATATTATTTTCAATAGTAAATTACTCCACAAGAACTCATTATTTACCAATTTAAAAAGTTACTAACCATTATCAACTTTCAAGTTTTATTTATATTTTTAAAATATTTTCGGCACAATTTTTGTTCGAACCTTTTTTGTGGTATTTCAAGTGAATGCTATAACTTTCATCTTTCCATAACAAAAAGGATCTTTTATTATCCAGGTATTAAGATATCTTCATATCAGTTTCATCAAAATTGATCAAGTATTTACATTACGTGATAGATGCACAGACAGACATGAATTAGAAAATTAAGTGTTGATAATATCTGAGTCAATAACTATCTACGTTCATTAATATGACAAATAAAAAATGTTTCGTGTAATATATAAACGGTCTTGTTATAGTGTATGTATGCGAATAATGAGATGCGATTTTCAACGCTAAATTATGCAAATGTGTCCATAGACAACACGTTGTTAGCATCTAGTCGTGAGTGCAGTTTCAATTAATCTACTTAGTAATTATTAACTTGATTTCAAAAACAGGTAAGGTTCTGTATTGACTATTTTCCTGAGGCCCATAGGTAAAACGGAGTCCTATTGCTGTAATCTTACATTCTGTTCGTCCTTATGTCACGTATAATTCGTAGTGTTGTGAGTTACAAATTAGTATATTATAGTGTTAAAATACTCGTGCTAGTATATTATAATTCGCCGTGTGGTCGTAGCATAAAATAGGTCCCTCCGTCCTGTCCCGTGGGTAACCAACTTTAATGGTAGAGTGATGGGCAGCAATGACCCTCTTAAAACATCACTAAAAGCTTAACAGCGGTTGCCAAACAGACTAGCGTGGCAACTATTGGCTAAACTTCCCTTATGGGAGTAGCTTATGTTCAGCAGTGAACAATTAACGGCTGGTATGATGATGATGATGAATCTTAAAATGAAATGCGACTTATTTATTACGTAATTACTTACAAATACAATGAACGTCTATTGTTTTTAAATTAGTCTATGTTTTCTACTTTTTTTTATACTTTATATATAGGTTAGGCCTAGGTTGGTGGTACCAGTAACAAGCATACACATAAAGCTAACAGCAAATATGATTTTAAAAACAAATTGAACTCAATCGCTTACTGCATTGACTGCCATTGACAATGTCATATCTGTTATTCATTTAAATAATATTTGCACACAAATGTAAACGTAAGGATCTTATAGTTATTGATAATCTATACATACATATAATAAAACCATAACTATTGTAGATCTTATCTGTGTATTATTATACTGCGTATACAGACGTATCACGTAAAAAGTACTCATCGGATTTTGATGAAATTTGGTGTGCCATATAAATATTTCTATTTACGTTTGTACAAAAGTCAATAATTACCACGTTATGGATTATTGTCGTGAGCATACTTATTTAATTTGAATGCGGCTAGAGAATATTCATTAGTTAGTATCGAAATTATTATAGTGTATCAACGAATAACTGAGTATTTGTAGTTGGTTACATACCCATACAATTTATCGAACCATGATGTAAGCTCGCGATAACGAACGTTATTCTGAATGACTAAAACAAACACATCTTTACAAGTACATAATGTTATATACAGTGCCTAATTTTAACACAATATTAATGATACCTACATAATATTTATAAATGTATCGCACTAATTAGGACTTTAACACGTTTATGCAATGGAGGCTTTATCAAGTTACTTTAACGATAAGCTTACTTAGATATTGTTAAGGCTATATAATAACAGGGTACAAAGGAAAATCACCTTAGTCCTCAGCAATGGTATTGCTTAAATATATGTTACAGTGTTATCATTCATGTTTATGGGTAACAGTTACCACTTTCTGTTTGCGGGCCGTGAACTTGTTTGCCATTTCAAGTTATATACTTACATATAGTCGTAAAATATATTTTTTTCAATCATCATCGTCCGTGTGTTTGTATTATAATATATATTTTCTGAGAAAATAAACCCTTTTCCAATTTTTTGTTAGTTCTATCGATATCTATTTAATTATAATATATATAATTATTAACTTCCATATTTTACATATCGAGCATACAAATATAATTATACGTTTAAGAGTATTACAAATGGCTTGTAATAAAATAATAATAAATTAGTAAATATTTGACTTTTATAATGCTTTATATGCAAAGCGTGATAAAACTGTCATACAGATCTGTCGTAATAATTGGAATAATGAAATTATCATCGTATAACAAGGTTAAACGCAGTCGTAGAATGAAGTCATCGCATCACCCTTCATGCCATTTAGTGGGTACGTTCGATACAGTTTGAAGACTGCTGTCGATTCAACGCCCGGCGAGCGATACTATGGTGACGTCATGTTAATATTAAGCGTCAATCACACAGCTCCGGGTTAGGGGCTTCCGAGTCCGAGATCAGAGTCGTCTGCGTTCAGTATCTCATCAGAGACATTTTAGTGCGCACATATCGCAGTGTCATTAATTTAATATTATGCCAATTATTCTATATATCGAGTTTTCAGCAACTTATTGTATATATAAAACTACAATTTTTAAAGATATCGACAAATCATTGGATAATAGAACATACGCCAGAAATTGCTTCGGTACAGATAGGGCTCAGATACATCTGATATAGAATAATACCACTTAAGTGACCAAGTCTACATTTATACAAGTATTTTCTCTCCATGCCTGATGAGTTCTGACGAGACATATGTTAGATCCTTATAAATATAAAATTGCAAAGGTATTATAGCAAACTCGTCTGATGAATTTATTCATGTTCTCATCTTTGAACAGTGCGCATTCTACAATTATTCAATCCTAATCTTATCTAATTGTTTCCTTGATATTATTATATATTTATAGATATCTTAGTACGAGATAGAGAAATAGAAAAACAACTATAAAAACTACTTTTTTTTTGTTTATAAGTTATTTGACAAGTAATAAAAAGTTTAGAACTTAGACTAAAGGACCGCGACGAAAATCGATGTACTGGAACTGTGTGAATAACGCTTTAAATTGAAACAACAGTTAGTGTCAATATGCCATTAAAAATTGTAAGTGTTGTTTCTACAACTAGTAAATTGCTTCTAGTTAGGTACTAAGTGTAATGTAGTGCAATCATTGCATACCACGTAATGTAAGAAATGATTGCATTCTATTATCAATAAGTATATGAAGTAAGGGTATGCTACCTGTAATAACACCTTATTTATGATTGATTCAAGGTACTGATTAATTTATCTTCGTATCTATTAGGTCACTTGAATGAATGGGGATTTTTTTTGCAAATATCTACCTACCGTAGTAATTAGATGATTAATTTCAGTACAGCAATGCGCAATATTTCAACGAATTCGCCAATAGGAAACATTACCTTTACAGTACCAATTTTATCTTAATTAGTCATAGATTTTCCATTTATCAAAATCTATATAAATCTAAACACACTATATCTATATTTGAATATCATGTTATTTGTTTATTATGTTCGAGAATCATTTGGAGATAAATAAAAACATGATGTGTGTTTGCCAAATGTGAAAAGAATCCAAATGTTTATACGAAATACAGCGAATCTCAAATCCGGAAATTGTTGTTATTGTTATCGTCGTTTTATATGCCACCTGATACCTGATGATATTAGTCTAAAATAATAATAGAAAATAGCTATTTTCACTGTGGAAATAAATTTATAAATGAACACTTCTTTGTAAATTTATGGGTCTACAATTATACCTATTTATAAATAGAATTTTCTTACTGTACTTCTGTTTTCAATGGAAGTGTTAGGTTTATTTGGCACAGCAGTTTAATCGGTGTGTTGGTGGATCAGTTATTATTTGTAGTAAGTAGGCTAAACTTTCTCTTATGGAGAGAAATTCCTGCCCTGTATTGGGGCGTTATTTGGTTTTATCAGAAGTCTCCCTCTGATATCTTTTGTACAAAAGTTGTGTGATTGGGCACTTCTGTTACACTCGTGTTTCAGCCGCCTATTCGGATTGAAGAGTAGGATATGGTAGTAAAATTACTGGTAATGAAGTTCATAATGCATCGTCACAGTGCGTTCTGTGATGTTCTAGTTGTGTGTCATGTCTACATAGGCAACAGTTATCACTTTCTGTCAGGTGAGCCGTTGTTAAATATTAATAATAATTAAGTTGTTTAAAAAATCAGTCAGATTAAAAACAGTTTTGCTATTATATGGTTTATATTATAAAGCGTGTGACAGTTTTCATGAGAGATACGTTTTAGATACGATTCGTATATCTTTATAAATTTCCTTCAAGCGCGTGCGGCGATTGTATCTCAAAAGTGCTATTTTATTGGACGATTGCTTGTTGTCAGTGTAAAACAATTTACGGGCACATGCAGTGGTTCACGCCCCTTTGGCTTATTTATCGCCCATAAATCGCGCGGTTGCACTCCGCTCACCGATCATTTAGTTAACGACTAGTAAGATTCATTAAACGTCCTTTATGACATTGTTCAGTACATTTGAGGACGTGCAAATACCAATTCTATACCTCTGCGGCATACAAACTGCTATTGTTTTGAAACCAATTTATATTTTTAGCATTTTGTATCCTAATGATTAAATAGCAAGAGCTGTAAAGAAGTAGAAATAACTTAAGTAAAAAATTAGCTAGGGCGATAAATAAGTGGCCGTCAATTTGTTTTCTATTCTAAAGTTGCATAAAAAGTAATAGAACCTTTTATAATTGATATTAAATCCTTTATAATCAAATAGACATTAAATATACTAAGTTAAAAACTAGTGTCCAAGTTACATATATATTTATCTGAATCGATTGATAATCGTGAGGTATTTACAATGTATGTCATATAGCAACGTAATAGTCTTTGTATATTAGGTGGTCATTTTTACAAAGAAAATTTTAAAGTATGTAATGTATTATTAATGTCTAGGGAACATTAGTAATATATAACATACTTTAAAAATTATTATTATTGTTACAAATTTATTCCGATTAACACACGAATAAAATTGCGAGCATAGCAATTGTATTACTATATAAGAACTATTGTACCAATAACCTTTAGACACTGCAACACACAGGTTACGCCATATGCTGTTTTTGATTTTAACCCAAATTCTAAATAATTTTTTTATCCTAATCAATATCATTTTCATCACTAAACCTATATTATACCCTGAAAAAAACGCCGGTCATTACACTTCACTTCTCTTATTTACTGTTTTGTTATTGGTATATTTTATTGTATTTATGTATTGCTGTATAATTAGAATTACTAAAAGTGTCTAAAAATTTTCCAACCCGATTTTACTTTTTTCCAACACTTCTCCTACAATTTAACGTCTTCAAAATTTCGCCGACAGAAAATTACTTTAAATTACGAATGAAATATTAAAAAATAATACTGGCAACAGATGAAAATTCAGCTTTAAAGACCGTTAATAAAAAAATGTGATGGAAAAATCCCGTTACATAATTATTCTTTGAATAGCGGATCCGTAGATTTTATTGTTCCAGTTTTTGTGCCAGACACAAAGACGCCAGTAATGGTCGGACTTAAAATATGAAGTCATTTCAATTGTAGTACTTACTTATAATTTCCTTAATGGGTCATACTACAAATCGTTAAGAACCTACTTTAATGTTTGTAGGTAATAATAATCTCATTTTAACTTCAATCTTCAAGAACTCAATTTACGAGAACTAATCTTTCCTTATTAATAACGCAGTATAAATATCTGTATAATACCTATTCTAAACACGAAAATGAGATTGTTTGTAGGTTTCACCTTTTATAATTGCTACTATCTGTTTAGGTGATAGGTGGAAGTTCCGGTTATTATAGAAATATAAAATATTGAAAACATCATCTGCCCTCAATCCTATCATTTGGAGTTAATGTAATACCTTTTTTCTTTCACTCGTCTGTATTTGAAGTTATTTTTTGTACTTCAACCAACATCTTTTAGTGAAAATTGTTTATGTTTAACAATATTTTTGATTTTATTGGAACAGTAACTTAAGACATTGTCTGCATAAATTCTAAGAAAAAATGTTCTATCTTTTAATCTGGGATATGGTCTACCTGTGCACTAAGTACATTCAAAAAGGTTCATCAATTTAAGCGTGCTTTAACATCTAAGCATCTTTACAAACTTTCTCATTTATAAGTAGGTTGTCTTGTGTCATGTTGTGTCGACGCTTTTAAATATGCATATTACTTGGTCATAGATATTTTTGTGTAGTTCCTTTTGCAGAAATAGATGCCACATTGTCTATTTCGCGTACGTGTTTGCCGTTAGATATCCGCAGTGGTTGTTATTACGACAGGTGGTGCGTGTAGACCAATGATCTCACCTATTGCTCATTGTAGAACGATGACCAATAACCGGTGAGTTCATGATCACATTATTGTTACAAGCATGTTCATAAACGTGTTTGAGACAACGGCGTACTATGCCCTTTGCTCATATCCTTTTTGGCTAATTGTACTCCGCAAACTCTTCTGTTATAATTAATCATAATTCTTCATTTATTGTCCACTCCATCCGTTTAGGAACTAATCCATAATTATGTTTTTGAGGCTTCTTGCCAAATGGTACAACTCTTAGAGTGAGTGTTTTTTTGTCCGCCTAACCTGTGTCACAAATTCATAGCGCTATCTCTTAGCAACTGATACTATCGATTTGAAATGCAAAAGAAGTATTGGAAATACTATTTCTGTTTATTTTACATATTGTTGCTACAGACTATTTTATATATATAGTATATATACGTATAATGTTCCTTCGAATCTAACGACACGCCATTTACTTTACATTCATTCTTCTTTTCTTCCTTTCGCAGAAAATTGGGTAACAAATGAAAGTTATTAAATAAGATAACAGGAATACATTTACCCAGGTTCAATAAAATCTTTATATTGTTTCAAAAACTTGCACATTGACCTCGAATAATCCATTTTATATTTCTTTATTTTTTAGATTTTTAGTTTGCCTATATATATATATATATATATATATATATATATATTTTGCATGTTACGAGATATTTTTGCTAATTATGCATAGATTTTTAATATTATTTTTGCAGTCGGTGGTGTTTATTTACATCCGTGTTGGACCGAATTATTTTCTCACAACTGAAGTTGCTGTTTTTTTGCCGAACTAAATCTTGAATTAATCTGTCTTTATATGTCAGCATAAACATTGTATGTTTGTATGATATTAAGTGAAAATTGCTCTATCATAAAAACTGAATACTTGTTATCCAGCAAGTGCTAGGTACGGGAATCCCAACTGGTTGACTTGCTAATAAAATAATATAAAATAACAGTTATAATGGGTTTTTTATACTTAGCATATTAAGTAAACAAACATGACATTTCTTTTTATAGAAATAACAGCATTGATATAAATAAAAACCTTTCATATATTATGAGTAACGGTGCATGAAATAAAAAAAATAAATTTGTGGTAATAATGATTATCTATTTATCTATCTAAATAAACAAATAATTGGAATAAAATGGTTTATGAAGTATAATATTTAAAAATAGAGTGTATAATGTTTACATAGTTTATAATTCACATGAATCAAGTTGCAAGTGTAAGTAACCCTTAGTTTCCTATAAGAAATTAAAACAAGCTAACTTTATACTAAAATGTTAAGTTATGGTTTACTTTTGCGTTGTTATATTTCTTTTTACGATTCCTTCTATGAACCTGCGCTTACTTACGGCCACAACGGTTTCTTAATTGTCTTTGTTATCCATTTGATTATGAGTACTGAGTAATCGTAAAAATTAATCTTGTCTGTAACTAGTTGCGAGAAATAGACATGACACCTGGCTATATTACTCATTTCGAATTGTTAGAAGTAATTAAATTAAAAATATAAGGGCGGTATTTAGAACATCATTTTACGTATTTTCTAAGATATTTATTATATGTATGTAGTGACATTATACCTATTAACGCGTTTACTCTCTTCCATTCGATCTGTTAATACGTTTTCTTTCAATTATATTTCATGTTGTAGTAAGTACTTTATTTTAAGCTCAATTTTAAAGCTCAGAATTATTTGAATGATTGGAGTGTCGGATAGTAAGGTATAACGCACTAATACGATTATAATGTTAAGTTAGGCATAATGTTGTAAATCGTCGAATATATATATATAAACATTTGCAACCATTATCAACATGTAACAATATGAAATTCAATAATAGTACATAATAACTTGAAATTAATCAACTAATTAATCAATTATCCCCAAAGAATAACTTACTTTCTAATAAAAATGGTTTTAATTAAAAAATTCATTCTTGAATTAAACGACTCAGTCACGCACGTCATCGGTTTGGTACAGTTTTAAAATTTTTATATTTCAAATTAACATCCTTAAGGGGTAATTATACTATCAATTTTATAGGATATATTAGAGTTAATAAATACAGATTAGAAATGAAAAATGATCTCATTAAGTATGGTTCCAAAACTATCTATTATAAATTATAAATGTGATCGATTTGTATACATGTTTGTTATTCAGGTGAAAACATTGAACGGATCCCAATTAAATTCGGTACACAGATAAATATAAATTAAATAAATATTTATTACGACTCGGCAGACAATTAATGACCGTTACATTTACATTGTTTTAGTGTTCGAAATGTTGGTATGCGCAAGACAGTGCGCGCGGCGAAAATCGCTGACGCTCACATTTGGAGAGTTCTGTATCTTCGCTGCAGAGTTGCGCCGTTGTTCCAAGCAGGCGAGACAGTAAGTATTAGCCAGTCCACCTTCACAATTTGTACAGTATGAAATCGAATCCATTTACATCTTTTTATAGAAGTGCTGCCAGTGAAACTGAACACTTGTTCCAAAGTAAATTATGTCGAAATACGATAAAAGGCTTTGAACTTTCCATACTAACTTGATTTTGATATCATTCTCACATACTCTAAATACAAAGCAGTATTGGTTAGTATGATAATAACCCTGTAAATAAGCATTTTGAATATTTAAAATCAACGCAAACGCGGTAACATTAGGCTTTAAAGGTAACTGTCATTTATAGTCATGAGTTATTCTATAGATTTTTTTGTAAAAAGTCCTAATTAAATTTCGTGGGAGTCAATTTGGCTTTATTGATTCAAATTTGATTTGAATTGGTATACAGTTGCGCCATATACTTAAACCTATGTCTACGTTTAAATATTTATTTATCACTTTGTATACGTGTATTGTGTCTTTCGTTTCATATAGCCCTAAAATCTTCGTCACGGATATTTTATCGATTATAGTGAGGCCATCATCTGTGGTTATTTGATTAGAATAATTTTATCTCATTCTGCTACCATTAGTATCTATGTGACTGCCAACGCTCGAAGATTGACTACCACTATTACTTCCAGAAGTTCCACAACTTTTTATATTAGCCATCAATCTCAAAATTTCAACTTTAATCTTCTGGTAGTACTAGTGGACGTCAATCTTCGAGTGTTGGTAGTCACACGCATACTAATTGTAGCGGAATTAAACAAAATAATTCTAATCAAATGGCCAATGATATGGACTTCCGTAAGATAACATCTAGTTCAGTAAAATAATCATCTGTGAACGTCACAGTGGTCACAGGTGATTATTTTAGCCTATAAAACATTTCTTAATGCTTGAAATTACCTATGCTCGTTCACAGTCGACCTTGAGTTACACTAACGATTATCCACTTCACAGCGAGGTTGATTAATTAAAGGACACTGCACAATAAATTGATCAAATACAATTAAACTTTATCTCCTGGTCGTGAAAAGCTGATACAAATGCATAACAACCAATTTATAAGCACTATGAAAAACGTTTATTCCTCTATTAGATATATATATTAGATAATATTAAAATATTTTGTTTTAATCTATATATCTTTGACAATTTCAATTATGTAGGACGTGTTATGTCATACATAACTGATTACTCATAGTTCGAGACGTCCAAAGAACAAATTATTTTCTTATCATGAAATATAGGTACGTATTGATTAAGTATGTAGGTATGTATAATCCTTTATAAATGTAAAAGTTTTAATAGGGTGATACACACCCTATGCTATCGGTATACTCTGACGGGGCACCAGTGGGAGATGATAGGTGAGAATGAAACAGGTCAGTTGGCCTATAGTGGCGAGTTCATAAACAGTTACCCAAGATGGATTCTAGGGGGAACCGCATGGAGGTCGACCTGATAGGTTATTGTTAGAACCCCATTATTAATAATTTCTTCCTCTCAATGAAAAGGTTTCTATGTAAGTAAAATTATATACTTTAATCCCAAATTCCATAACTTTTGAACGGCTTTTGATAACACTTATCGGTATTAGAATAACAAAATGTAGTGGTAATACAGTATTATGCCGCAAGCTTTTTTCATAACAAGAACTATCTTTGATGTAAGCTACAACATTAAAATTAATTGCGTTAATAATTAATACGTTATGAACAAACCTATCATAAATGTTCATCTTCCCAGCTTAATCAATGTATGTATACTGTGATCAAATCCTACCTTAAATCAATTCTTATGTTTCATATTTTAATAAGTAAATTTGACAAAAATTCCTAAAATATAATTATGACAATTTATGGGTAGCTGCTGTATTTATTTTAAATTGTTAGCACGGCATATAGTCAACAAATCTAGCAACATCCTTTTTATAAAAATCAATCAAGTCGTTTAATCTACAGACTGAAGCAAAAATCTAAACAGAAGTACATACTTTCGAAAAATATTACCCTTAACAGTCGGTTAAAGAAATATTGTCACTTCATTCTTTGACGAGCAATCGTGAACTAAGACCGTAATAGTAGGTACTTCTTGAAACATTACGGCGTCCTTCAAAATCATGATGTCTGACTGCACCACCATCCTTACACGAATTATATCTATTACTTAATAGTAGCAATACGTATTCAATTTCAGTTATTCTCGATCTTTCTGGTACAATCACACAGACAGACATGACGTACTCTAGGGACTTCCTTTTATACAATATGTGATTCATGTTCTATGAGACGTTATAACGTTAACTGATACTTCATATGCAGGAATAAAAAAATTAAATACTTATGGCATAATGACCTTCTATACCTAGTAAGTAGGTACCTACTAAGTTCAAAATGACTCCGTTTAATTTTATTGATGACGTTAAAAATGAGCAATCGCCGTTTATCCGATCTTGAATCGAGGGCTGTCGAGCTCCTGCAGTCGCTACCGTCAACGCGTGCATTGACCCTTGAATGCCATACAATGAAATATTTGTCATGCACTGAATCACGATAGTGACATACAAAATGTATCCGAGATTTCATGAGTCCTGAAGAAAATTAAGTACCAAACGCTACAAAACAGTAAAGGCCGCTTATCAATCGATTTAAATAAAATTTTATATCACCGACAATTGTATGTTTTTTTAAAGATTCTTGTCCTGGTCTCATATTAATTTTGTCCTTACCCGGGTTTGATGAAATACTGGGAATGGTAAACAATCTGATAGTAAATAATCCATCTTATTTAACAAAAAGTTGTTGTCTAGAAATTTCAACATCTTGAACAAAATTATGCTTAATGCGCTGCACATAATTACTCCCCCATATATATAAAGATCAATTTAAGATAGAAATAACAATATTTTAGATGGCAGTCCCTACTCACTCTAAGACTAATAAATCTGGACATTAGACACAGTTTCATAGTTTCGTGTTTTGTTTCTAATTTCAGTTTTCATTCGCAGGACTTCGGCAAAACCAGAGTCACCGGTGCTGAATGTGGACAAAGAATTTCGTGATAAAGACAACATTTGTAAACACGTCAACGGTAAGAAACGTATTTATAAAGCACACTTCTAAAGGCCTTTAATTTTTAGTAGAAGGTAGCGGTGAAGTTTCGTATATTGCGGAAGGCCGATCACAGACTGCGTACCGTGATCAAACAAATCATGACTAAACTTTCCGCACGGTACCAATCCAGAAATACACAGCGGTAGTCCCTGTGGCTACGAGGTGGTTGGAATATAAATTGTTTAGTATTTATTGTAGATATTGAGTTCAGTGTCGCTCGTGTAACTCCCACGCCTCGTCTGGGACTATAGGACATTAGTAGTACTCTGTGTCCCACCCCTGTAGATTCTATTCTATTTTACATAGAATAATAAATATTTATATTATAGATCCTAGATGTATATGATAAAATTTGATGGATGGATGTTACATAAATACTATAGGGTCTTTAGTCGAGTTGCCAATAAAACGCTTCCTCGTGTAACGCCTACATACCTGGTTATAGCCAGCTATTGATCGAAACAGCCATTTTTTTTATCAAAGCTTGTTTTGCCAAGATGTATGCCTTTACTCATGATCACGTTATTTGTCACGATTCACGGCACGATGGGCGTACTCGCTGAACATTAAATTACAGAGTAGCGTATCATCATTATTAATTATACGAACATATTAATTGTTTCACTACTACCTACTTACGGCATAACTTCGACCCATATACCGGTCATATATACAGAGTTGTTGATCGTTTGAATTTTGCACTCGCTCTAACATCTTGGATTTACGTCAATCTCGCGGCGCATCTGAGCCATCTGAGTAACGTGTAATAATAGTTACGAGTATGTATACACAGGTATCATAGTATCTTAGAGATGCTTGTATAATATTGTAGTAATTATGAATGATGCCAGTAGTAAAACTCTCGTTCATAATTAAAGGCATGCTTTGCTCTTGGTATTCGTGATCAGGTACGGAATACCTGTGTTTGTTTACATTGGATGTTGCTTGCATTATGTTGTAGAATATTATATACAGTTCCGTTTTTGATTCCGCAAAATCGTATAAGGTAGAATAAACATTACTAATCGCGTCCTTCCAGCTTCTTCCGCACAAACTATAAACGGAGTACGGAAGTGTCTGGTCCGATGCCACGCGGTTATACTATTTCGGCCGTTGTGTGTCGTACAATAAACATTACTAAACGTATTATACTAGTTATACTACGCAAATATAAATACACACACATATATATATATATATATATATATATATATATATATATATATATATATATATATATATATATATATATATATATATATATATATATATATTACTACGTACAATATAATACATAATACAATACAAAGAACGATTCTAGTAATGGTGTCGCATTTGACTTCCTTATATCCCGGAAGATTCTTATGTATTATTTTCTAAACTCTAATGATGAATTACTGGTTGTTATTTAGCGTTGATTTCAGAAATGTATGTCCAATTGGCATATGTTCAATATTTGATAATTTATTGCCCCTTTACAACGTCCGTATTCTATATTTTATATTAATTAAAACATTAAGGCGTTGATGTATAGCGTCCATCTATTAGCGCAATAAAATAATAAGGTAATTACTAAAATAGTAAAATAGTAAGCAGTAAAATAATAAGGTGATTTGGAAGCAATTTGGTCTAAATACTAATATTTTAAAATAACAATAATAATATGCAATTCATAATTAATATTCTTACTCCTTAAAAATATAACATCAAAGTACTGTAGTAAAATCACGGAATTATCGATGTCAACTAATGATTTAAGTACTTAATTAATTTGAGTACATAGAGTATTTTTCATATATACAAATAACATAAAATACATAAAAACAATTACTTCTCTAAATGGAGCACAATAAGTACCTGCGATAGTAGTTATAGTGGATACAACGTACAAGATCATCACATATGATTTGTCCTTGTTCGATTGATACGAAAATAGAACGAGACAAATGCTCGTAGAACTCATATTATTAATTTTTATTAAAGTACTAGTATTATGAGTACTACTATATTTATTCGCTATTTCTGTTTCTTGATGTTTTATCATTTAAAATCCTATTTACTTTTTTATAAAATGGCTATGAGAATGGCAATTCGCTAGCTGAAGGTTAGTAACGGGCGTCAAGACGCATTATTTGTAACGTCCATAGCATATTGTATTAAAGATAGAACTAGAAATCCATCGTTATAATTATTTATAACATTGTAACGACAACGCAGCTATTGCTCGCTTTCTATTTCAGCCCTGCTCCATGCAGCTGCAATAGAAAAACTGTAGAAGCATTTCCTACCTAAACGAGTCGCGGAAAATTCTAACATCAATAATAATAATTTGTACATAACAATATTTAAAGAACTCGTATTATATTGTGAGTACTAATGTGACTTCTAGACAATACGAATTATAATCAATTAATCCAATAATTTATTTGTTGAATATAAATGTCACAAAGGTGGTACCTATACAGTTTGTGGATTGATAATATTGTTGTGAATTTAGGGCATTGTTCTAAACGGCTTTTGTGAATGTAGGTACATTAAAATTCGATTCGATAAATCAAAGTGGGTAGTAGTATTTAAAATCATCCAAGGAATACGTTAATGGCAATAATATTCGGTCGTCACGGATCTATTGATTTATAACATGATGGTATCGCGCCACGATATGAACACCATAGGGTTATTTGTTTCGGATTGCCATAGAAATAAGAGAATATTTTAAAATGCGGAATCGACTAGTATTTGGGTGTAGTGTTGAGTGCCGCGGGCGCCAGTTGGCCGTCGACCGTCCGCTCGTGGACAACGTGCAGAGCCGCGTCCGCTGGCTGCACGCACGTTCGCAGCTTGATTTCACATATCGCTAACCATGCCGCCAACTACAATGCTAGTACCCTGTGCGTCTCTAATCTTCGTAAATATTTTGTTTTCAAACTACAAAGTGCACTACTAATACTTCGCATCATCTTACCAATTTTCAAGTGTAGTACTATTGTCTATAATAAAATAACGTAAATTTATTCTACGCCCACTGTGTTTTATATCTTATGTAAATTATTAAAACGGTGTTTAAACGAATCTCAATTTTAGCAACAAAAACATTGTTGTAAAATTTACGTAAAAGTTGTATCAACTCAGGGACATTTTGTTTGGTTTGCACTACGCGCTGGTGCGGAGGAAGCGGATTGTCAGTGCGTTTGTTGACCAACTGCTCTGTTTACGTTTTCGATTTGGCATTGGATGATAATCCCGAATTGGATTCCTGTGTTGGTTGGCTACGATTCCCACGTGAATGAGTGACATATTATTGCTTTGATTCTCCACGCATATGCAGTCAGTTTCATTATTCAGCACTTGCAGTTTTTTATTTTGATTTTCTTAAGATTTATTATATATTTTTTCAATCGTTTGAAAAATTACCTTAATGATTTATCTATATGTTGTCTATAACCGAGTATGGCAATCATGAATCTACAAGTAGGTGTTTTAAGTAGTTAGAAGCACTGCCGCCATATGATATCCCACGCAATCGATAGCCATCAATCATTTACGTTGAGTACCGCTGGCTGAACGAACGGTACCACCTACGTGCATGCAGGTTATCGTAATGCTTTCTAATCCAAGGTATACCATTAGTCATTACTATTAGTAACACTTACTTTTTTCATGTCAACCTTGTAGATGGAGTACTACTTGCATATTCATTCGTATGTACCGTGTGCCACTTGAATGAATACGTTCCTCATTTGTACGTACATATTTTTTGTCAGTTCTAATTATGGCGGGAATCGTGTTCAAATCATGTCAAAATAGTCCAGTTCAATTACTTTCCAAGCATTCCCAACAGTTTGAACTCACGCGTTGTTGCGTGTCTAACCGCAGTACAATTGTTAACAATTAAAGTACTTCTTTTGCGTGCCTCTATTGCCTCTTAGAATAGGGTCAACTATTTGTCATGTACTTTGAGCTTCGCTGTATGAAATATTTTATCTTTTTGTTACTTTGTAAATTTCCATATTATTAATTGTAAAACCGCTATTATAGTCAGTAATTAATTATATTTGGTATATAGGTACGATAATTTCATAAATGTGCGAATTACCTTATTAATTAATTATAATAAAATAAATGGTATTAATTTCTATGACTTTGAGTCTATTCTATAATCAAGAGAATTTACAAATATATTGTCTAATTATGTGCTAAAACACACACATCTTCATCTCAACATCTTCAACAAGTTGACGCACATTTTTTAATATACTATTTACTAGAATTTAGAACCTAATCTTCAGCTGACAGCTCAATCCAATAAGATTCTAACCTGCGCAGCTATCCGGTTCGAGTGCATTTTTAGTTATTGAAAATTTCAGTTCAATTTGATCCTTAATGCTACGTTTATATTTATGAATCTTGATAGAATGTAGTACACTATTTTTTTAATATATTAATTTATTCAATATACTTATTCGATATACAATATAATTTTATGATTGATTATTCTATTTACTAAACTTTATGTAAACCTTAGCTCTCCACAATAATCTACAACTATGTCGAACAAAACTGTTAAATATCGACAACAACACAGAGTTAGAGGCTATAATATATCATTTTATTACATATAAATGTGGATTTTCGTAAAACCATTAAAATGATTAATGTTAACATATCAAAATACTATAACTATAACCATAAATATTAGATTAAAGAACATTATTATAAGTCAGATTTTCAATGTATAGAATTAATTATAATAAGCATTATGTAAATTGTCTTTGGCTGACTTGTGGTGTTGCGCAGGCAGCGAGGCGTCTCCTCCACCATGTGAGGTGTTCCTGGGAGGGTCCTGCAATCCTACTACATGGAGATCGGACATTGCTATTCCGATGCTGAAGACTATGGGCATCACATACTTCAATCCGGTAAGTGATATTTTATAAAGAGTTAGGTATATAGTTAAATTAGGCTATCCGTTTCAGTACGGTGTAGGTTCTTAAAGGAACAAGGAATTAACCTCTGATTCATGGCAACTTCCTTCCTTATTGCATTGCTTAGGATTCTTAGGAAAGTCGTATTTAATCATAATTAGGTACATGAAAATGTTTTGAGGAAATAATTAACATGAACGAATGGTGTCCTTTAAAATGACTAAGATAGTAGTTTTTATATACATATATTATCTATACGTCATCTGTATAGCCAACAGAGAAAAAAAAAACTAAAGTTTTTTATTTACTTATAAACCTATTCAAGTTAAACTGATAAGTGTATAACTGTTGTTTCAACAGGTTTTACCTGTATTGTTATTAGTTTTAATGACACAAAAAGTGTGAAATCGTCTTAATAGGTATAAACATAATTATCTTTTTGTATCTAGAAATCTTAAGGAAACGCAAACAAATAAATCCTATAGCAAACCGGTTCTTTCAAATACATAAGCGCAAACAATTATTGCTTTTTACATTTAAGTACTTTGATTCATAGTACCTATAGTGAATACACTACAAATAACGTGCTAGTATTTGTCATTTATTGCTGCCACGTGTAGCGTAGAACGGGCGGTTAGTTGTCAATCATTGTAGTAGTACCTATCTACTTCATAATGTCGCATTGTTAGTACTATTCATGTCGTCCAAACAATAACATCTACGACTGTTCATGTTTGTCACCGCTAATTCTATGCTACGGTACACAACAAATCAACTAAGTATATAATGTAATAGATTAGTATATCATATTCTTTTTTGTGTTAAAATGATTCCTGTGGGAAATTTTTGGTGACCTTACTTTCTTCCCTGAATTTTGCACTATTAAATCAATTATTATAGCTAGATAGACTAATATTTATGACGTTATATTACTTGCTAGACTCCGTGTTCATCAATTTAAGTTAAGTGTAAGATCAATCTTAAGCGTGTGCTTATAGTTATAATAATATATTATTATAATATTTATTTATTATAGTAATATATTTATGTATTAGTTATAATAATGTATTAACATGAGCGTAACTCAGCGTTCACGTGCCACTTGAACCTAAAAACACATTTGAAACTCAAATCTCAGTTGATGTGCTTTTAAGATAGGAGCTTTACTAGATAGATTGATATCTATTTTCTAAAGGTTCTATGTTATTCCATACAGTGTTAAGTCCGCCACTTACATTATCAAAGTGTATTAAAGTTTAAGTAAATAAATACTTAGGAGATATAATTTATTATTACGAACCTTAATCTAGGTCTTATCTATTTCTGTCTGTAGTAGCAACAAATGTCTTTTTGTGTTGCGATTCGAAGGGTAAATGTGAACCCATCACTAACTAAAGCTTAAAATATTAGTCATCGGGAAGGATTGGGATTCCGAAAGGGCACAGTTTGACCAGTACCTAATTTTATTTTTATCATGGTGTTACTTTTGTTTATCACTGTCATTTTCCATCAGGCAGGCCGACAACTTATTTTTAGTTTTGTATATACTGACTCCCTTAGCACTTATAAAAAATTCAAACCTCTTATAAAGCTATTTTAGCTATTGAACTGTTTTATTTCTTTCTTTGGTGCTAAATTACTAATTTGGTAGAAAGTGACAAAACAGTGTAACAATTAAAATAGATTAGTAAAAGGTTTTATTTTTACGAGTAAGGAAATTATGGTATAATCTATACATAATATACTACATAAAACACTTTAAGATTTAGTTTCTACAAATAAAACCGCAAATTAATATAAATGAAGTAAATCCAATTGAAAGTTATTTTTTTAAAATCACGTACTCGAAAAATACTATCGATTTAAAATGCTTCATTACAAAGTCGATAAAAATATAAAATGTAAGCTTTTTTACATTTATTTAAAAAAAAACGCACGATCACAATTAATGTTTTTGTATTGCATTGTGATAATTTATTATATAGCTGACAACCGCCAAATATTGTCATAGATAATAGCGTAGGTTGATACATTAATATTCATACTAGGCTGATATTAATAACAACATTCCTTCTAGCTGGTTTGGAAGGCGAAATAATGAAACGGATTTGGTCATCATTACATTATTTAAAATAGCGCCCGTTCTTTGTATATAACATTATGATAATATAATACAATTACACAAGAATTAGAAAAAAATACAGAAAGTAATGTCAATTATTGTTTTAATGTGAATTTTATGTAATTCCCGCTAATTGATTGTTTTCATAGTATTTCATGTTTAATCGAATGATAAGGCGTATATGGATAGCAGTTACTTAAAATTGAACGTGTCTACGAAACGTATTCAAAATTAGAATATTTCTTAATTTGGCACGTTTTTATGAAGGATTTTGATAACACAATTATTTTATCGCAAGATATGTGACTTCCTTTAAATTGTATGTAAAATGTAATTTTATTAATAAGATACGTTGCGTAAGACTGCTGTTTAGTAATCGCTTTATTCTATATTCTTCTCTACTAGTCTTCTGTACTTTGTTTTACTATGTATAAATGGGAATATAATCATTGATCTACCTCACTACTGCTAGAAACAAAATTTCTAGAATGTCTCTACTATTTTACTGTGCAACTATTGTACTAAAATAATAAAATTGTAACACTGTCTGTATATGAGAGATATTTAAGAAAAAAATAATACGAAGGGTCTTAACCGTTATCTGTCCTCTACTGAACACAAGCCTCCCCCATAGACTGCCATAAGGAACAGTACTGAGCTACCTGCGACCACTGACTCACTAAAGACTCTCTAAAGAGAAAGAGGTGTCTAAATAATAAATGCCTAATACAATATTTTTCAAAAAATTTGTCTGTCTGTCTTTATATATTTGTTTCGGCATCATGCAAAAATTACTGCACTAAATTCTATGCTGTTTTCAGAGTTGTGCTTTAGAAGGTCTTACTAAAAATCTGGTTCATGTTTTATCTAGATACATAATCTAGAATTAGTTTATTTAATTGGTTCTCCTACAATTAAAATCAACGCGTACGAAGTAGCGAGCAAAAAGCTAGTAAAAATATAATCGTGTAATAATTCATATAAGCGTGGTAATAGAAGGTTAATATTGTCGTCTTATATTGTTATAATGACAAATAGATAAGTGCCACACAATCACACCAATTACCTGGTCCCCCAAGCTTAAGTGGCTTAACATCAATATAACAACCCTGTGTCATGAGAAACCAAGTAACGCACATCTAGGGACAAAACCCTGACCCGTGATGATTAGATAATTATATTATTTATTTATTGAACAGCAAGTAGACGACTGGTCGACTGAGTTGATTGAAGTGGAGCACAAAGCAAAGGCGGCCGCGCGGGCATTCCTCTTCGTGTTGGACAGTGAGACGCGGGCGGTGGCCGCCAGCGTGGAGGCGGCTCACCTAGCCGCCGCGCCGCGCGATCTGCTACTTGTATTGCGTCCCTACACGCGCAATCAACAGATTGGAAACGAGACCATAAGCGATCAGTGAGTGCTTAATACTATAAATGTGAAAGTTTGTAAAAACTTTGGAATGTTTGTTTGTTACTTAATCACGTTTAAAAGGCAAAACTTTACCAGTAGAATACTTAATATACTAATTACGCGACCAATGAAAGTATCCTATGTCCATGCCAAATTTCATTGTATATATTTGGTTAGTTAGCCCAAGCAAGGTGCTAAGATATGATAAACTCTCATTTTCACATTAATAAATGTGTAAGGATTTCAAGATGACGTTTTATTTTATTTTTTTATTCATGAATAATTTTTATTTATATATTTAAAACGTTACAATAAATTGCTAGAAATAAAAATATTTTAGTAAACAAAAACCGATTAGAGAAATCTGATCGTTTTTTGTTTACTGAAATATTTTTTGTATTGGATGGTGATAAAAGTAATTTGATATTAATGAATCTTGCTGAATTATATTTTATGGTATGGAATTCTTTTGTTTAAGTTACAATACAATTGCTTAAACACGCAATAATATTCGAACGATATTTTGCAGATATTTGATACTGATAGATAATTTGTTGACATGTAACCATATTGTGTTATGATATCGGATTACTTTCGATGGTACTTTGAAATAATTAGTTCATCAAATGTATCATTTTGACATCCACGACAACGATCCTATTCAATACGACGGATTATATTGCATGACCGCACCTGTATTTGTGACGATGACATCACCTGCGAAAATGTAAAGCAATTTACAATTTATCATAATCATTGAATATGTATGAATGTTTATAGTGAGTACGTCGAGCTGTCACGTGCGCGAGCGACATTGCAAGAAGCAGTGGAGCGGCGAGGTCTGCCCGCCTTCACGGACATTCCTGCGGCACTGCGATGTGCCAGAACAGTACTCCGAGGTGCGAGGACCCACCCTCGACACTCGTTAGGTCACACTATCTTGCGACTGAAGCGCGTGTATGACGCGGCCGGCGGCAGGAACAGTCGATTGCCGCGTACGAAAGCCGTTGAAGCCTTGAAGGAGATAACGCGGGCGCAACACGAAGTCGCAGACCATTGCTTGCCTCCGGCCGCCGATTTCATCGATTTTGAGATGTTTTGTGCTGCCGTTGCCGAGCTCGCCGCCGAATCAGGTTAGTTACCTGCGTAATTCTTGACGTACCTAATTGCTTTTGTACTGTTGTCTCACTGATGTAACTTGGTGGTGGTCATTATTGTACGCACAGAAGCGCGTCACAGCCAAACATAAGGCTTGATTCGGTATAGTGCTAACACGGTGTCGGGCAGCCGGTAAGGGTGGTATTTGTTGAAGGGCCCGCATCGCCAACGGTACGGAGGACGCTTGTGGCGGAAGCTGGGGCCGGAGGAGGAGGAGGAGGTATGGCTGCGCGAGTCCGTCGCGTGCTGCGAGCGCTCCGCGACCGACTCAGCCCACCCACTCCCGGTGCGTCCACGCACTGTCACCATCACTCTTTGTCCGTCCATCACCATTCGCCACCATTTTGTTTTACGGCGCCGTCGCTATATCATTGTTAGCTTTTTGTTGAAATGATTTACCTAGTCTTACATTGCTTTCTTCATCATGTGTTCTATGAATTTTTATAGGGTCGCAGTGCTTTGTCTTTTGTAACTAATGTTCTTCACACCTGGTTTCCTCTTGTAATTTTAATTCGGGTGCGTTTTAAAATGATGCTGTTTATTTTGAGCGCTAAAGGTTCATCTTTGGTGAATCATATTGACAATATAATTGTTATTGTCTGCAGGCAGTCAGAACCGTATCGATTACGAGGCGACGCCGGGAGCGGGCGCACGAGCCAACGCGGACGCGCCTGAACGGACAGAAAGTGCGCGCGAAGCAAACGGTCTACAAATGATCAATAATGCTAGGCTTAAAGCTTACGGCCGGAAACTAGGATTGTTCATTCCTAAGGTATTGTATTTAAGACATCCTAATGATCTAATTCACAATTGCTTGTATTGTTCCTTTTTGATAGAACTTTACAGGTATATTTTTTTATGCAACTTAGAATGGCAAACAAGCTGACGGCCCACCTGATCTAAAGTGGTAACCTTCGCCTATAGACATGAGCAGTACCATAGACATAACAGGATATACGCTTGAGGTTGATGTTTTGAAATTTGCCACGTGTATTATATTGATTTAGTTATATATTGTGAGAATTGATTTATTCCGTGTAATAATTAATTAAAAAATATAATAAAATAATGGAATGAAATATACGTACAAGTATTTTAAATAATTATTATATAATTGATATCCTAAATTTTAAACTTTTTTTATTTATTAGATAAAAAAAAACACTAGCCTATCCTAAGTTAAAAGAGTTTGTCAAAAATACTTTAAATCAGTTAAAAAGTAAAGTTTTTTTACTTTGGGCACATTTCTAGAATGCCAACAATAAAAGTATGGAGGAAAGCGCTGCTTCAGGGTCGAGCGGCGACTCTGTGTTCACGCCAGGCACGGAGCGGCGGTTGGAGCGGCTACCAGCCATGCTCGGTGCGCCCACACATGACGTCTACCTCGGCGGCACCTTCCCTGTAAGTCCGACTAACCTCATTTTCTCAAAGGAATTCCAAGGAGTTTTTCCTTATATATATTTAAATGACTTCCAAATTAGGTTTTCGTCTATTTCTTTTTGTGTATGAAATGAGATTATGATCCTTTTTTTTTATTTTGCAACGATTAACGCTGCTGTTTTTCTTTGTAGAGTAAAACTGATTTTTGTAAAGATCTATTTCTATACACATTTCCTCGTTCTACTTAGTGCGTTTATTCTTTTTAAAATAAAAATGTAGAATAATAAGAAATAGTAGACTAGTTAATATTGATTTTATCAAGAATTAAGTAGTTATTTTTTGCGGAACAAAATCTACTTGTAAAACCGCGTTTATATGGCGGTATAAGAAAATTCATTGCCGATGACTTTAACCATATTCCTAAAGAAATACGTAACACATTATGTGCCAATTTTCATGGTGATTGGTCAAACTGTGTCGCAATATATGAAATCTTGAAAAAATTAATATACCTACTTACATTGTTTTTCAGTTTACACGTCTATGGTATGATTGTTCTTACACCTGCCGTATGTCTAGCCTTCATCATCTCATTTCCCATTCCTCACATGTCACATGTATATGTTTTAAACAATTTACCCATAGAAACAATAAAGACGTGTGTAATATAATAAAACATAATGGTTGTTTGTTTCACGTTACCAATATAAAACGTATGTTAATTGTGTGTGTATAATTATAATTGAGCAAAACATCACGCTGTGTAGTTAAATCGTGAACAGTTCACACTTCACTAATTATATCGATTTTCTCATACCTCGCGTAAATCGTGTGACGAATGATAAAGTGTCGATAGTTTGAATATTAATTTGCGATGATGATCTCATGCGTACTATGTAGGTGGTTGTGTTGTAGTGTGTACCTAGTGTGTTTTATATTTATGTATAACATTACATATTTACCGTTCTGTTGCCGTTGTTGGCATTCAATTATTACTTGCACGATTGGTGAGCATCCTATCGTTGAGGTTAATGGCTGAATTTATTTGTTAATTATTCTTATCGGTCGATTTTAATGGTTCTTAATATAGGTTTATATTTTAGTTGACGTAGCTGCAAATTAACAATTATACGGTCATTTCTGTCATTTAATCGAATCTTTCATTATTTTAAAGTGTATCCATACATTTTGCTGATAGAATCGGCCTCTAAAACCATGTTGTGGGAAATTGTAAATGCGAATATTATTTTTGCATGTTACTTGTCCACGTTGTTTTGAATATTTTTGCACAATAACTAAAGATTTATTCTTCTCGCCGGACCTTAGTTCTTATCTAACGAAATGTTATTTTTTATTTTCGCAGAGCAACACCACGCGGCCCGAAGCAATGTTACGGAAAGAGGGTATCACGTATGTGATACCCCGGGTGAACGACTACACACGGATGTTCTCGGCGCCGGCGCGGCGATCTGCTCCCGCGCACCCCGAGTCCCCGCGCCGGGACAAGAAGCCGCGGCCCTCGCCCGCCGCGTCCCCCGCCACACCCACCACGCCCTCCTCGCCGCTCCGCGAAACGGTCCAACTGCGCGACCACTCTACCGCCGACGATAATGGCGCCCGCCTTAGCGCATCCGACTTTTACACAGTCACGGAGGATCTAACACCGCAGCCTTTTAAAGGTGACTTTTATTTCACTAACGAAGAAATAGGAATCTTTTTCGGATGTAATGTGTTTGGATCATTATGATGTATTATGAGCTACATAGAATATATGTATCATTATCAATATCATCATCAGCCTTTAACTGTCCACTGCTGAACACAATCCTTCCCCTTGAGGGAATAGTTTTTGCCCATAGTTGCCACGCTTGGCAAGTGGGTTGGCAATCGCAGTTTCGCTTTTGATGATGTCTCAAGAGGAACGCTGCTGCCCATCTTTTGCCCTTCTTAGTTGCCTCTTACGACACCCACGGAAAAGGAAGTGGTGGCCTATTCTATACCGGAGTAAAGTAATTATGGCGGCCAGCAACTTTTAAAAAAATATTTTATTCCAGAAAAATAGTCCTTTAAACTACAAATACAGTCACAACTTGTTATTTTAAGCTGTAATCGTAGTTTGAATGTGTTGAGTTACATTATTGATTGTAATAAGTTGTGGCCATTTTTTTTAATATAAAAATACAGGTTATCTACAATTAAAATTATTTTATATTAGGTTTTCAATTTAACTATTTTATTAATAAAAATGTATACTTCCTACAAACATGTAGTGTATTTTGCTTACTTTCTTCCAAATTCAAGAGAAAGAGAAAAAACACTTCAGCAATTAAAATAGGTTTATTTAGACAGTTGCGTTGATATGAATAAGAGGCTAAATTTATAGCGTTAATGACATCATAATGTCGTAAATGTATCTATTAGTTTCTACAAAATCTATAATAAGTAGAACATTTACATTGTACTCTGTCGAAAAGGCGACTTCATGAATACTCACACATACCAATAAACGAGACATTTTGTAGATACTTTTATAATAAATTTTAGTATTTAGAACGCAGAATCCTATAGTTACATATAGATTATGACACCCTCAAAATAGAGAAAATTGTTATGGCATTGACACGGTAGTAACAAGTACTATTAGCTGCAAAAAAAATTGTGAGTTATCGCCTAACATATGTAATAAAAAAAAATTATCAATACCCTCCTCTCCTCTCTCTTTGTTTCAGCAGTTGCTTGGTAAAAGAATAGAAGGAGTTATTGTTTTGTTTGATTGCAGGCACTTACGATGAAGACTTGTTACTCGGCTCACGGGTGTTGGTGTTCTCAATGAGCGCGGAGGCGCCGTGTTTCCCTGCGATGGTGCTGGCGGCGCACTACATGGGTTTGCGGCCTTCTGCCACCGTGTTGCTTGTCCAGCCTATGGACCCGACCAAGGCTACCAACGTGAGTGAACTTCTGTATTATCGATTAGTTTTTACTTACGACTGCGCTTGTACGAAGTGAAATTGATTGCCAGATTAGAGTTCTATGGTTAAATTTCATGAAGATTAGTAACAAACAAATTATATATATTTATATCTCTATATGCATTTAAAAAACGAACAGAGTTTCGCGCCTCCAGTCAAACTGTTTATAATTACTCTTCTCCATCTAAAGGTTGTCTGGAAGAGATCGGTTTAAGCGGTAAGGCCGCCCATTGTTTCATTAGTGTAATATTTTTTTTTAATTGTTTGTATTTATAATAAGTTTACTATTATTATTTTATAAGGATACAATAAAAATTATTTATCTATCTTTATCACATTTACATTATATTGTAAGAATGTAACAATATTTATGGTGAGTCCCTATTATGAGAATAATAAACATAAAAATTATTCATACATTAATGAAATTTGTTCTTCAATTCCAAACACCTTTATTTCATTATTAATGAAAGTTAAATATTTGGATTGGAATTATCCTTTATATTATTAATATTATAAATGTGAGATTTATAAACATATATAGATTTTATAATTCAAGCATACTTATATGACTGAACGAATTTGAATTAAATATATTACATAGTGAGACAATATCCTAGATTAATATAGGATATTTTTAATCTTACTAAAGACGAAGAAGAAAAGTGTACTAAATTTTTACAAATGCTCAAATTCATATAGCAACATACATTTTTACCAGAGGGACACTTTGTGCAAAAGTTGTTTGCTTGGGCACCTCTGCCCCATTCGTGTTTTAACTGTAAAGCAGTTGTGTTTGCATGGCTGTGTTTCAGTTTAAAGGGTGGGATATGGCATGAATTTACAGGGTACAGAGGAATAACACCTGAGTCCTCAGGAATAGCAACGCATGGGGGGTATCATGGGCAAAACAGTATATTCTGTTATGTTCATAGGAGACGGTTATCACTTTCCATCAGGTGGTCCGTCAGCTTGTCTGTCATTCTAAGTTGTATAAAATAAAAAAATAAAATTATATATAAGACTTGTCTACCTAATATTCAATAGTACTAACAGACAAATATTTTAACTTTCAGTACAGCGGAGCTGCAATAAAAGATTACAACCGTGGGCGCACTTACCTCACAGACCTTGCAAAGCGTTCCGGTGTCCCCGTGTTCGATAATGTAGAATCCACAATGGTCTACGTCATCAACCGATTGCGGACGATGCTATAGCTCTATATAGTAATCAATAACCCTGTACATATAATCCGAAATATATATGTAGTTTACCAGGGTTTGGTGCGTCACGTAAATGCCGCTTTAAAACTCAATATTGAATTATTATATGAATACAGACGGATCGTAGTATGCTGACCGCAGAGAATATATTGTGTCAAATGACTTGCCCTTACATCAAATAATATCTGTTGTGTTGTAATTTGTATACCAATATCAGCATCCATGGTCAAAGCCCTCCCTCTGTGTTAATAATTCTGATAATAAATATTATCAGATGTTCTTATTTCAAAATGTATGTTTATTTTCTTACAATTGTACAAATTTACGTCACATAAACTGACGAGCAAAGAAATCGAACAACCCACTTCTTGCCGGTACAAATAATGAGTATAATAACAGTTTAAATTAATATTAAAGGTTTTTTGCTCGCTAGTAGTGTGCGAGGTGAATAATTGAATACAAGTATTTTGTTTATTGAAATAACCACTTATTTTCATATCATATCTTGCGTTGTCTATTCTGTTTGTGGTCAGCCACTACGCATTTGCTCGCAACTATAATTAAATAAGGGCTTTGTACGAGTTCCATACGAATCTCATTCATTTTAATATATAATTGTTGTTGCCATAAATACATGATGCTCATCTTCCCTTATGGGATTGGCCTATAACCACAAGCTAAAGGCTTCACCAATCCATCAAGATTCGACTGTATTGCGGCAAAGAGTCTCATAAAGCGTGTACTTATTTTTTAAGACGTTTAGATTAGTACAAAAATGTCTCTCTTTTATTTTCGTTACTCTCTATTGTATTATAATTATGTAATTTAACATTTAAGCACAAATTTTAATACAATTACATAGAATGTATGAGTATAGTATGAATGGCGATGGTGGAAAGGAGGTAGTGACACGGATGTAACAAATCTCTGTGATGAATTTGTTTAGTAAAATTTTAATGTTTGTGGGGAGTCAATGCATACTTATTAGATAATAATAAAATAATTAGTAATATTACACAGGCAGGTCCGGGTAGCAGTATAATAATAATAATCAAATATTTAACAGAATCTAACATGACAAAAACGCATGTCGTCCAATACAACATACAAGTAAATAAAAGTGAATTAATGTCGTGACGCCATTAGCACATGGGTACCGAACGAAATATAGCATTGATGTTCGATTATTGATATGGGTATTAATATGCAGTGATTGTTATACAAGTGGCAGATAATTCCATTTTTACATTATACCTCAGAGAAATGAAATTATAATGTTTTTAAAGTTAGAAAACAGTATCTGTTATAATAGAAGTAAACATTATATCTTGTATTGTCCTGTTTTTAACGCGAGCGATTGTTTACTATCAGATGAATAAAGATTATTATTTCACTGAGGAAATGGTATATTTCATAGCACATTTTTTAACTAAGATGGCACCTCTTACTATTATAATATCCCTTTTTCATTAAAATACATATCATTAAACATCTTGTGTTTGCAACTGTGTATTTGTGGAAATGGGTATCAAGACGTTTATATAAGTTAAAATATGTATGATAAAGCTATTCAAGTATAATGTTCCAGATATGTGGTGTATTCAATCAAAATTACTTTTAACTGCCAGATAAATTAGTGTTACCTGTAACATATATAATTTAGAATTGGAATAGCCATCTGTTAATTCCTTATTTTATGATTCACTGACGATATTGATACAGTTGGGAACAAAAGTAGCATCAAGGTGGATCATGATTATTGTTAAAATGCTATAATTGCTGACCATACATTTGCGATGTTATTGCCGTGTACACTTTGTATAAATTACAGTGGGTCTTGTAAGAAGTTTCTCTCAAATTAGATGTTAATTTAGATTATTGGCGATGCCTTTGATTACTGCTATTTATGTATTTGTTATCAAGTTCTCTGGGCCACACAAATAATGAGTTAAACCAATAAAAATATATGTACCCATGTATGGTCTGTTTTTGGTGGCGGAAGCTGTCATATAATTATAATCTTTTACTCAGATTTTGGCCTTCATTTACATTAGAAAGCAACGACTGATTAAATAAGTTCATTAGTCCTTGTCCTTTCAGTGTGGAAATGGATTGGAAATCATATATGGAATGTCGAATCATGATCGTTCAGCACCCACTCACATACAGTAAATATTTTATAGCGGGTTACTAAGACTTTTTGCGTCTTACAAATATGACGACATGACGTTTCATTCATCATATGCGTGGCGCAGGCCTTCTAATATTGTGTATAGAAAAAATACAGGTCATAGAAAAAAGTACAAATACCTTGCTCACGTAGCAAATTTAAGATGTCGTTTTTACGTTAAACATAATTATACAACTTCACGACTTATACTCATTTTTATAGATGTAAATTGTAGGTTTGAAAGAAAATATTTAATACACAAAATTTTAACATTTTATTATTGCTTACATGTATTTAAAAAGGGGTTTTAAAACCGAGGTACCTAATCTAGGTATAGTATAAATAATATTAGATAATTTAGATTTTAATTACTTATGACCCACTGTTGCTAAAATTTTTAATTTTTAAATTAATTCAGCAAAAATCTTTTGCTAGTCACACAACAACCGTAAACATGTATAAGTACTTTGTAATATTGTTTTGATAGTACAAATATCTAATTTATAGAAAAAATTTTTCATGTATCGATTGTAATTTTATGCCATGTACGCTTATTTTAAACTAAAAATGTCACTTGTAAATAGAGAAATTTATAATTACATACAAGTGTTTCATTAACACCACCAAATGACCGGTTTTGTTATTATTTCCTAATGGCATGAAAATATAACTTCTTACTTTTCAGTTGTAAGGAGTTCACAAATGAACAATGTAGAATGCAAATAAAGTACTTGTTTCTAATAATGTTTTTTATTTATACATTATATTAACATAATATTGATTCTGCATTAAAACAGTTAAAATACTGTCATTTTTTGTTTATCTTTTCGATGTTTTTGTTCTTTAGAAATGACTTCTTCCCTACTTCTCAGAGCACTTAGTTCTTTATTTTTCTCTACAATTTGAAGGCTAATACTTCTGTAACCATTTGAACTAGGAGCGTGTCTGGCTAGAGAACTGTTTAATTTTACTATCTCCCGTTCAAGCTTTTTTGTATCTTCCATTATTTTGAACTGTTCAATGTTCAAATCTTTACTTGTGGATTCTTTTATACCTGTTGGTGGTACCGCCGATGATTCCACGTTATCTGATTTATCTCCTAACGTTTTATTAAGAAAATTAAATACATTTCTTCTCTCTCTTTCTTTTTCGCGCTCATAAGCTCTTTTATTTCGTTCTTCCTCTTTCTTTTGAAGACGTTTGAGTCGTTGTTCTACCTGTAAATATAAAATATTTTAAGTAACAACATAATAACAATAAAACGGAATATTGAACTATTGAAAAGGATTTACTTTATTCCAAATAGGCTTGTTTATTAATAATATTTTATACCGAATTGTACAAGTATATATTACATATCATCATGTATATTACATGTCATTTCATAGCTCAAATAAAAATTTAAATACGCGTTCTCCAGAAAGAAATATATAGACAATGGTGTGTATACAGGAGATATAGTCCTCGGCTGACGTATTAGTAAATTTTGTCATCTTCATTTAATTAGGTCTTTATATATGGTTATCTTGATCGTTATTCTTATAGAATAAAATGTGGAAATAAAGTTTTTTTTTTATTATATATTGAAAAACAGAAATGAGCGGTTCACCTTGAGTGGGTCTTGTGCGGTGACTTTTTCCGAAATGGCCATGCATTGGTCGAGACTCTTGCCGGCGGGTAGCAGACGCGCCTCAACCGGTTGTACGCGGCCGTCGCTCGCCGCGCCCAGCCCTGTGCCCGGCACGTAACCCATCGCCAGCATTAGCTTGGATCCAATACCCTGTTAACCATATCACTTCCAATAAAGATTGTTTGTAACCAAGCTAGGACTCTGTATGTCATGAATAATTAGACTCTAAATATCAGGTGGTATCCATTAAAACGGCCAGAGCTTTCAGAAAAGATAATTTACTATATTTACAGAGAATAGAATTAAAATATGTTGACACAAGTACTATGTTACAACCACACTATATTATACATACAATTTATACAAATTAAAATTATACAAATGGTAAATCCGTTTGTATGTCAGCGGAATACCAATGAGAGATGATAGGTGAGGATAAAGTCAGGTCAGCTAGCCCATTGTGACTAATTTACCAGATGTTAACTACAATAGTTTCCAGAGGGACCGCAGTGAGGTAGAACTTATGAACATAACATTACTAGCAATCAGGGAATTAATTCCCGTTACTAATAGTGCCTATTTCATTCTCCTCTAAAGAAAATTAAATTAGATGTAATACATACTCACTCTGGTGTGACGCTCCCATTCTCCCATTGCTGGTGCATTACTTTGCAAACTCTTCTCTATTAAAAGCGTACGGTCCTCATCTTCTGTACGTAATATTTTACTATCTGGATACTCAGTGTCACTGAGGCTGTCGTCAGATAGTGAATCACTATCATTTTCAGCTAAAATGGTGTTACTTCAGTAAAGTATTGTACTTCATTTACGTGATAATATAAATTAACAATTTTTACAACATAACGTAACTAATTAGAACTAATGGGCATCTAGGTAAATTTTACGGACATCAAACTATCGAACATTCTATAAACTCATGACTCACATCACCAACTCTGATAAAATATTCCAGTTTTCACCACCATGGACCAAACCAGTATGTACAGTATGGTGATATCAGAGAAATCGCAGGTGCATTGCCAGCCTTTTGGGAAGGAATATGCCGTATTCTTAAAGGTTTTAATATCTTTGTCTAGAAAGACTGTATATAAACTGATGAGATTGTAGACAATGGCAGAAAACATGCAGTGGTGACACACTAATTGTAAATTTTTACTGATGTAATTCGTTTTTACTGTTGTAATAGTGTACTAAGTATCTTACCATTGAGAGGAAAAATTTCTTCAAAATGAACTTGGAATTCTTCAGAACCTGATTTCCTTTTCTCTCCTGATTTAAGCCCTTGTTCTAATTTCACTAAACAAACTCTTTTCTCTAAATCTACATCTTTCACAATTGCTCTATGCCACAAGTGATATTTTTCTGTGGATTTTTTAGTTAAAGATGTGTCCTGTAATACAAGGAGAAAATAATTTAATGCATCAAATTTGAGACATAGAATTGGTAGTAAAATAGATTTTATTTTATGCATTTTTTCTATTCCAGGCAAACAAATTAACGTTATGGATATCACATCTATAATAATAATATATTTGTGCCTATGGACATATTATAAACATTGCCCTTTTGAGGTTTAAGATGTTATGTTTACCTCTCCTTCAGGTGGTTTTAATTTCAGCAATATTCTACTTCCAACTTTTATTGAATCAAAATTAGGTTCGATCGCTTCTTTTAAATTTGATAATGCTACTATGTTGCCATGAGAATATCTGCAAGGAAACTTATTGAAATTAATAACCACACATAATATAATTAACTTAAAATAAGAATGCCATAATAGAAAACAATATTCGGTTCATAAAACTAAAAAGAGTATGACTAGACCAAATTAATTTAAAAAACTTTAATGCACAGTGAAACTATGTACATATGGCGCACTTAACATCAGAGTTCATCAGACGATGTTCTACTATTAGTTAACTATTGGGCAAATGGAAAAATTAGTAAGCGGTGCATTATTAAATTGAGGAAATATAAAAAATAATACTTATATTATAAACATACAATTAGACTAATATGTTTATATTATACACATAAGTTAAATAAATAAATAAATATATACATACATACATATTACTAAAACAAACAATTAACTGTTTAATAATAATCTAATTTAGTCTCTTTAGTTATTATTTTCTGTGATATTTAATTATATAGAGGTGACAGATACTTTCAAATAAATGAGTGAGTATCTTCCATAGATATTCTAAGACTATATAAGAGCTACTTAAATAAATATTTCAATTATCTAAACAATGAATTAATAATCCTCATCATATTAGCCTTTAACTAATTTGTACTGTTCATGTCTATAGGCGACGATTACCATTGTCGATCAGCTGGGCTGTCAGCGTGTCTGCCATTCTAAGTTGTATAAAAAAGCCTTTAACTGTCCACTGCTGAACATAAGCGTCCCCTTATGGGGTTTGCCAGTAGTTGCCATACTTGGTAGATGGATTGGCAGCTGCAGTTAGGCTTTAGAGATGTTTTAAAAAACATGCTGGGGCCCATCCCTCACCCTCCTTCAGTCACCTCTTACGACACCTAAGGGAAAGGAAGGGGTGGCCTATTCTATGCCGGGACCACATAGTCAAATAAAATAATAATACATAAGCATAACATAAACTCACCTACATTGTTCATCATTAAATCTACATTCACCATCTAGATAGAAAGGACATGGTAACATTTCTGCATGAGTTGGATGAGTGAAAAGCACTCGCACCTGAAATTATTATGTACTCCATCATTACTAATATTAATAAATGTGAAATTGAGTTTGTTATTTAACGGTCCAAGAAATCATTATGAAATCTGTATATACTTTATATTCAGGACAAAGAAGGACTAGAAAACTTTTTAATTACTATTTTTGTTAGTTATTATTATGTTTAACTTATTATTTTTAATATTAATTTATTAACTTTCTAAATGCTTTTATATAATGCATATAGATAATTGAACAATATTTACAGTATTTTTAATTAATAATTATATCAGATATTTAATATGCCTAATACTACAGGATTTATCTATTATCTGTATTGGTATTTACAGGAAGAATGCTTTCAAATATGCAAATAAAGTTTTATAAGTAACTTATATTTAAAAGAGAGATTCTAGGGCTCATAAAACGGAATATGCACCATTTCTTTATATAAACTTAGTAACAGTAATAATAGTGAAACTAACCTGCAGATCTTTAAACTGGTCATCATCTTGTCTGGGGATAACAGCACTGACCATTGCATTGTGAAGGCTTGGCTGGCCACCCCACTTATGGGTATGGTATACAGCACACTTCATGCCTAGCAATGTAGCCAATTCATCCTGATACAAAATTAAACAAAAAATATTAATAGTTTGTAACATCATAACATAATCAATGGTGAAACCTTTTAAGGAAAAATAAATAAGTTACACTAAATTTACATTGTTTAATTACACATTACCCATCAAAAGTTTGATAATGAGATCTACGTGACAGAAACTGCAGAAAACCCTAATCATTTCTAACAGTAATAATTTAAAAAAAATCTGTCCTTTCAATCATTCCCCTGTTAGTGAGGACCTAATTATAAAACATGTTTCAATTACACTAATAATGTACTTTTCTAAAACATAAATTTATATTATTATATATCTGTTCATACAGTGAATCTAACAAGACTGACTTTTTTAATCACATTGTTTAAAAAGTAAAGGTTCTCATGTTATGTACCAATAAATTAAGTTTTTATTATATTTAGTGCATAATAAAACATTTATGATAAATAATACATACCTCTATATCACTACTGTCACTTTCATTTTGATTATTCTCTTTTGAGCATTCAGGTTTTTCTCTATTGTCTACATCATATACACCAGTTTTAGCCATTTCTTGCTGTAAAAATATTTACATTTATTTATATTAAGAGTGGCAAATTACACATTCTATAGTTTGTATAATGGACTGTCTTTTTTTGTTTTTTAGACATGATGCCTACAACCACCTTCTTCCAGCCATTAACAAGGAGTTCACTCTTATACTTAAGAATCTGGATAGTAACGTAAAGCACAGTTTCAGAGATGTTTCCTATTGTGAACAGTGAGGTTATATATAGAACGAGTTTCAAGCGTTTCCTCAAAACAGAGCACTTGGTAAAGGATGAGGTAGGCAACTAGCACCAAGGACTTCAATGAAACAAGAAATGTTAGTAAACATACCATGAATAATGCGTATTCATCGTCTAAATCATTTTTCTCGTTATTATTTTGTATAGTTTTATCAGTAGCATTATCTTTTGGCACCGCAGTGTCTATACTTTCTTGAGTTAATTGAATAAGTTGTTGCAATTCAGACTGAAGGGCCACAAGTGATTCACGTTCTGTATGATCCTGAACTGTAGTGAGTGCTTCGTTTACCATCGAAAGCTATAATTGTACATAAAAAATTAAAAAGGAAAAGAAAGAGTAATCACAAAAGTTTCCTACTATAATTTGCTTCTATGATGATTTTACCTGATTATTATATTGATCTAATGAAGTTTTTAAATTGTCCATTACTGATTTAATTTCTGCCCTGTAAATAATTAAAATTAATAGGAATAGAAACAATAATAATAAACAAATTGGAATGATGTGTTCATAGATTACAGACACTATACATAAAGCACAGATAAAAGAGACTATATTTAAAGATTTGATTGTGAGGATTTGATTTGACAAGCATTTTGACAGTTGATGTTCTTATGGATATTGGTCAAGAATTATATATCTGTATATATACCATTCTAGCAAATTATATTTTAGATATTATCTAACAAGCAATACGCAAGCTTTGGACACGAATCGGACCGATCAATATTCAATATCCACTGTAATGTGCCCAGTAGTCGATCATTGATCTCCTTCCCAACCTTACAAGCCTTTTTCAATCATTTTTACGCAATGTATTGCAACTACATGATTTATGTGCTTTCATAGGCAACCTGCGTCATCTCTTACGGCCTGTGATCGGTCGTCCCTTGAATTGATGACCGGTAAACAGCAGAGATCGCCAGTTCAGAGGCCGACCACATACTCATTTATTACAGTATCCGACCGTTCATTTACCTTTCCCAATATTTCTCAAATATTGCGTCTAAATTGCGCCCACCATGTACTCTCTTGCACCAGGTCACTCAGAAAGTATTGTGAAGAAACGTTTTTATGTATGTGAGACTGGCCAGTTATAATTTATTTAAAAATATGTTTACTTATAAGTAAAAATATGTACGTTCTGAATTCAAAACTACATTTTTTTTTTTTTTGGATTAGCCGGGAAAAAGCGCGGGAAACGTTTAAAAAAGCGGGAGTGTTTTTTGATCTTCTTTAAATTAATTTTATTTTTAATTATATAAGGATTAGTCTTATTTATATATTGTGTATTAGATTGTATATATAATTGTATATTTTGTAGTAATAGTGTTTGTTGCTGTAAATATTGGTAAGTAGATTATCTATATTAACTAGACATTATGGATCCACCTATAGACCCTGGGGGGACAACCCCCCAGGTGTCTGCAAATATAACTATCCCATTTCATAATAGTTTTGATATATTGGGTGAATCTAGTATGGACACAGATGGTTCTAGCGTTGCAAGTTCTAAACGTAAGCGAGTACGTGGCGAACGTCGCATTTGCAAACATTGCAATAAAAAACGAAGGAGGCACACCAAAGGTCTCGAATCTAAAATTAAAGATAGTGATTGTCAATGTATTGAGGATGAGAATCAAACTCAAGTATCAATACCAGTTGTAAATAATACCGAGTCTGTTAAACCTGCTTTTCCACCCAGTACTTTAAGCAGAACTTTGTACAATGCCGAGGATGTAGCTCCTTATGTCGTTCATGTACAAAAAAATGAAACACATCCTAATGATAACACTACATTACATCCTATTGCATTTGGTCGCTTTTTACACACTAATAAGATAAATAATATAGTGAATGGTAGCCTCAAAAGAATAGGAAGAAACCGTTTATCGCTTTCTTTCTCAAATTTTGAAAATGCAAATGCATTTTTAAATAATAGTCACTTAGAAACACATAATTTTAAGGCATTTATACCTTCTTTCCATGTAACCCGTATGGGAATTGTGAGGGGTATTCCTAAAGATTGGACAGAAGAGGAAGTAATCCAAAATATATCAGTACCTATAGGTTGTGGGAGAATTCTAAAAACCAGAAGAATTAAGAAAAAGACCATTAATGAAGGACAACCAAGTTTTATTAATACTGAAACCATTGTTATTACTTTTGATGGACAAATATTAGCAAAAAGAGTATTTATGTTTTACACATCATTAACTGTAGATTTGTACATTTACCCCACTATCCAATGCTATAACTGCTGTAGGTTCGGACATGTCAAGATGCAGTGTCGTTCAAATCCTCGGTGTTATAAATGCAGGCTAAATCATACAGGTGATAAATGTGAAGTAGATGAGGAAAATGTTTCTTGTATCTTGTGTAATGGTTCTCATTCAGCAATTAGTAAGAAATGTCCTGAATATGCACATCAGAAAGCCATTAAAGAAACAATGGCCCACAGTTGTGTTTCTTATGCTGAAGCATCAAAATTTCATCCTCCCACTTCTAAACTATATTCAGATGTATTAACATCATCATCTCCGTCCAATAAATCTCATTTTCAATCTTCTTTCCTTAAAGAGAAATCATCATTACCACATATTCAATCATCATATAAAAAAACAGTTACACTTAAACCACGCTCTCCTCAAAAAGCACAACAAGGATATGATCGTTCTGCCCATGAAGCCATAGTTAAGGAATATAATATTCCTGCTCCCTCTAATGGTTGTGCATTATCATCAAATAATATTGACAATAATCAATCCATCTTTGATATTATTCTCATGCTTATTAAAGTGTTATCGCAATCGAAAATGATTCAAACAACTTTACCACCGTCCAACGATGCCATTTACAATGTATTTTCTCAATTATTAACTTCTCACAATGGATTACAAAGTCCTAATAATTCAGTGGAACTGTCGTAGCATAACAAACAAGAAATCAGACTTATTTTATTTGATTAATAAATATAATCCTTTTATAATAGCTCTACAAGAGACTTGGTTAAAGCCAGGATATCCTTTTAGGATTTCAGGCTTTACAAGTCTCCGTGATGATAGAGCTGACGGATATGGCGGTGTTGCCATATTGGTCAAAAACTCCCTTCCTTTTTCTTCTTTTTCGCTTCCTGTATATAGCGGCATTAATGCAGCTGCTATAATTATAAATGGTATCTGTATTGTTACTTTATATATTCCTGATCCTACATGCCAAATATATTCACAACTAGAACAATTATTTTCAATTTTACCTAAACCTTTTCTCGTAATGGGCGATTTTAATGCTCAGCACCAATCGTGGGGCAGTTCTGCTTCTAATTTTTATGGTGGAAAACTCCTGACGATAATTGACACTTACAACTTATGTATTATTAACTCAGATGTACCAACACGTAGAACTGCACCGAATGAAGGGTTTAGTGCTCCTGACATTTCAATATGTTCTTCTGATTTAGCTTCTTCACTGTCGTGGTATCCTCATTCCTCTACCTTCGGAAGCGATCACTTTCCCCTCATTCTTTCTTTTCCAATTTCCATTCCCTCAAGTCGAAAGAGTGGTCCTCGGCTTAAATATAATTTATCAAATGTAGACTGGAATATTTACAAACAATATTTAGATAATAAAATATCGGAGTTACCTATTGTTTACCATGGAAATGAACATCAATGTTGTAATGACTTGATGATAAATATGAAGGAGGTTGCTGATTTATTATTTCCTGTTAAAAATAGTGCTTCAGGGAAAATTCCCTCCCCACCTTGGTGGGACAAAGATTGTACGGAAGCAATTAAAAATCGTAAAGAGGCTGAAAAAAATTATAATAATTACATGACACCAGAAAAATTTGAAATTTACACCGCAGTTTCACGTTCTACTCGAAAACTACTGAAAAAAAAAGAAATTAGAAGGCTGGAGAAGATTTTGTTCTTCTATCTGTCCAGAAGTTAATTCATCAGTCGTTTGGAATAATATTAAAAGATTCAGATCTGCCTTTAGTGATCATACATCACGTTCTGCACTCGATTTAACTTTAGCGAATAAATTTTTAGATCGCCTTGCTCCTAGTTATGTGCCGGAATGCCTTTACAATATTTCTCTATCCGTCTCTGACGAATTATTCGAACTTGACTCTCCTTTTACTCTAGTAGAACTTAAAGGTGTTCTAGCTTCTATTAAAGACTCTGCACCGGGAGAAGACGGTATACCGTATTCCTTTTTTAAAAATGCTAGCAATGCGACATTAATTTATTTTTTAAATATAATTAACTCCATAATTATTTCGGGAAATATACCTACTTCATGGAAGTCTCAGATTATTATACCATTTCTAAAGCCTCATAAACCACCTTCTGAACCATCATCATACCGTCCTGTTGCACTTTCCTCTGTCTTACTAAAGCTAGCTGAACATTTAGTGAAAAACCGTCTAGAATGGTTTTTAGAAAGTAATAACTTACTATCCCCGAACCAGTTTGGTTTTAGGAAAGGTAAGAGCACCTTAGATAATGTGAGCATTCTTATTTCAGATATTCATATAGCTTTCTCACAAAATTTGTCAATCCTCTCAGCCTTTTTAGATATAAATTCTGCCTATGATAATGTAATAATTTCTATTTTAAAAACTAAATTACAAGCTCTAAATGTACCGGTAATGCTTTCTAATTTCATTATTAATATTTTATCAGAAAGAACAATACATATGGATTTAGATGAAGATACCAAATTATCTAGAACAGTATGGAAAGGCCTTCCACAAGGATCTGTTCTCAGTCCAATCTTATTTAACATATACACATACGATCTAGAATTATTCCTTGATAAATCCGTCAAAATTTTACAATATGCTGATGATCTTTTATTATATTTTATTGCGAAGTCCATAGAATCTGCTTCTGCCAAATTATCTGATTCATTAGATTTGTTAAAAACGTGGTTAGATGCAAATGGTCTTAATCTTTCTGTAACCAAGAGTAGTGTAGTTTTGTTTTCAAGAATGAGATCACCGCAACAAATTAAGGTGCTTTATGATAACTCATACATTCCTATAAAGACTGAAATTAAATTTTTAGGTATCGTGCTAGATAATAAATTAACAGGTCTGTCCCACTGTAATTATATTTCCACGAAATGTGAGCGTAACCTCAACATTCTTAGGTGCCTTGCTGGAGTTTGGTGGGGAGCACATCCCGTTTCACTAAAACTTGCTTATAATGGTCTTATAAGGAGTGTCATTGATTATGGAACTTTTTTGTTAGCTCCAGGAAGTTCATTTGCTTTTAAGAAATTGGATTTAATTCAATCAAAGGCCTTGAGGATTATCTCTGGAGCAATGAAATCAAGTCCAATCAATGCTTTACAGCTCGAAGTCGGTGATCCACCTTTGGTTTTAAGAAGGCAATATCTATCTGATCGCTTCTTTTTTCGTTGTTTACAATTATCTGATCATCCGCTTATTCAAAAGTTATCTCAACTACATATCTTTATTTCGTCTTCATCTTATTGGAAACATAAAAAACCTCCATGTTTAATACAAAGTTATGAAAAATATAAATCCATAGAATCTCCCACTTTTACATCGTCCTGTTTTCCCATTTATAAATGCTCATATCAATCTTTAGTTTTATCTCCTAATATTAAATATGATTTTGGGTTATCAAAAAATGATTCAGAATTGAATGCCAAATTTATGTTTATAACTGACATTGAATGGAATGAATGGCACTACATCTTTACTGATGCATCAAAACCAGACAATAGCGGTTGTGTAGGTGTGGGTGTGTTTCATTCACAATTTAATATTGTTCAAAAAATTAAACTTCCACCGGAGTCTTCAGTTTTTACCGGGGAATGTTATGGTATTTTAAAAGCTGTAGAATATATACTTTTAATGAAATTACATAAGGCAATAGTTTTCACTGACTCTATGAGCTCTTTGCAAGCTCTAGCCAAATATCCGTTTAAATCAAAACCAGTTTATCCCATTATTTGTGACATAAGACAAAGTCTTTATCTTTGCATGTTGAGAGGGTATTCCGTTTCTTTTGCCTGGTTACCAGGACACAGTGGTATTAGCGGCAATGACAAAGCTGACCTTATTGCAAGAGAGGCTGTAACTTGTGGTGATATGTATCCGTATCATAATTACTGTAGTGACCTAGCTTGTCTCCCAAAAATATACGAGTATTTAAGGTATGCCTGGAAGGAATATTGGGAAAAAACAAGTACAATAAAAGGAAGATTTTATCGCCTTATACAACCCGATATTCCTTTCAAACCATGGTTTTGTAAATTAAAGCTTGGAAAGACCGCAACAACTATTATAACTCGTATGCGTCTAGGTCATGTATGCACACCTTCTCATTTATACAAGCTTGGTATTGTACAAAGTTCGTCGTGTAATTGCGGTGCTGAAGTGGCGGACTTGAATCATATATTCTTCTCATGTTCTAAATTTGACCACACCTCCCTTTTTAATCATCTCCGATCCATCCGTGTTCCATTCCCAACTTCTATTCTTACTCTACTTTCTTCCAATGATCCTATTATCTATAAAATACTATCTTCATATATATATGATAACAATATTAAGATTTAGTTATATTACATGAATACATTTATAGTTGCATCAATTGCTTTTCCTATATATTTATAAGTATATTCTCATATGTACAAGTATATCCTTCATATCCTATAAATATCCTAGACCTAATCCTTATCCTTTCTAAATTCGTTTGTGTTAGGTATTTTTATTACTATTATCGTTTCCCCGTTTTGTTCTTGGCAAAATACCCTAATATTGGGGTGAACGCCACAAAAAAAGAAAAAAAAAAAAAAAAACTACATTTTTGCGAGCTAATTAAAATTACCGTGTTTCATTGAAAAATGGATTTGCGTTGAGAACATTTTCGCGCTATGATATTTTACGATTTTAAGCGTCGCCTGAAACCGGACGAATCATACGATAAACTTCAAATGGCATTCATGAATAAAGGTCCTTCTAAAGGCAACCGTGTATCGTTGGTATAATGAATTTAAGCGCGGTCGACTAACTTTGGGGGATGAACAAGAAAGAAGAGGTCGTCCTTTGACGGTTGTTACAGAAGAAAACGTGCTAGCAGTGAAAAATTTTATCCAAGAATAAATAGACGAGTTACCAAGAGATTCAGCATATACTGCAGATTGGATCAGGAAGCCTTTACGAGATTCTACACATGCATCTACGGGTGCGGAGGATAGTTTCACGCACAACTTTACCGATGTTCAGAAGTAGGCGAGAGTGGAATGGTGCCATGATATGATAGACAAATTTGAAGCAGGCTCTTCTCGGCGTGTTTATGACATCGTTACAGATGAATCGTGGATTTATCAATACGATCCAGAAATAAAGCGCCAGTCGACGGTTTGGGTGTTTCAAAATGAATCAACGCCTACCAAAGTAAAGCGACCTAGAAGCGGGGGGAACATGTTCATCGCGAGCTTTTTCAATTTGACTGGCTACTTGGTATCAAATCCATTACGAAACCAAAGACATTAACGCCAAATGGTATACTATCAAATGCTTGATAGAAGTTTTCTCTGTTGTGAGCAATAAGCGACCAAATACAGGGCTCCGCGGGCTACTGCTCCACCACGATAATGGGTTCCGCCCACACCGCAATCAAAACGAGGGACTTCCTAGACAGCACTAATAGATATCTATAGCTCAAAGGGATATAATTTTCGTCGCCGGATGATGCGCTCTTAGCGTTCGAGCAGGCTTTAAACGAGGTGTCTGCGGCGGACTGGAAAAAATGTTTCGAAAACTGATTCAGACGCGTGAAACTTTGTATAGAGGCTAGTAGAGAGTACTTTGAAAATATGTAATAAAAATATGTTTACCTATAGAACATTTTTTTAGTGTCGCAAAACTTTCTGAGTGTCCCAGGTATAGTCATTCCGTCGCCCGTATCCAATAGCGAGGGCAGGATGCCTTAAATACTGTACCGCAAACCATAAAAAAAAAATCCATTGAACACGATACATTGAAACACGTGAACTGATTAATATCTAGCCGGGCCAATCTACACCGCTTTGACGTACATGCACGATGACAATATCTACAAGATGACAACAGCAGGTGAATAATGTCTTATAACGACACACGGCGTTTTTGACCCAAAAAACAACCATCCTCTTTTTATATTTTTATTTTGTAGAATCGGGAGTTCTACCCTTATAAAAGTAAGAGTAGAACTCGCGATTAATTATTAAAATCTTCGTTTCCATATGTGTTTCTGTAAATCTACTAGTGTCCTTCTATGCGGCTTTAACATACACAAATAACACAAAAATATGAACCGTAACATATATATGTAGGTATATATGTATATATATATTTATATAACTTAGAATGGCAAACAAGCTGATGGCCCAGCTAATGGAATGTGGCCATCGCCTATAGACATGAGCAGTACCATGGATATAACAGAGTATACTGTTTCGCCCATGATACCCCCATGCGTTGCCATTCCTGAGGACTCAGGTGTTATTCCTCTGTACCCAGTAAATTCACGCCATATCCCACCCTTCAAACCGAAACACAGCAATGCAAACACAACTGCTTCACGGTTGAAACACGAATGGGACAGAGGTACCCAAGCGACTTTTGTACGCGAGATAAATAAAACCGTTTAAAAATAAAAATGTTATTTCAGGTTTTATTTTTTTATAGCTATGTCTTGTCCTAGCTGGATTCAAAACCTTGATAAATAACTAGCCTCCTATAGAACTAGTAACACGAAAAAAAAAAAATCAAATCCTGATAGTGCAGGATCTTTGAGTTACAAGCTTCTCGAGTTTTGTACTTATTTCTATGGTCTTAAGGTTGCCACGCAGATATTTTTAATTTCCGTTATTTTCATGTTTGAAAATGTTTTTAAACTATTGTAAGGAATTTCAAATAAGAATAAATTCATCTTACTGTCTTATCTTACTATTATTAAAAAAGTGAAAGTTTATATGGATGTATGTTTGTTACTCTAAAAAACTTCTGATTTCCATAGAATTAAAATTAAAAAAATCATATCTCTGAACTTGATAAGATTTGATCGTCGGGAGTTGTACTCTTACTTTTGTAATGATCTATGCTACAAAATAAAAATATAAAAAGAGGTTGTTTTTTGGGTAAAAAAAAAAAAAACACTCTGTGCGTCGCCTATAGACATGAGCAGTACCATGCAGTAGCATTTTTTTAAAGTTATTGAAAGTAATAAATGTATGCTATAAATGACGTTAAATAAAATGAATGGTGTATGGGAGCGCAGTTGGGTAAGTGGTGTTTATCGCAAAATTGTTTAGTGCCAACCTTAGAACTGCTTTTTTTTGACGGTATAAAATATATAGTTACAATATTCGATATTTAAGTTAAATACCTAGTAGTAGTAGTAGTAAAAAAAAAAAAACGATATCATCAAGTCTAATTCTTAACATTGATTAATATCTGAATGAGTTAAAAGGGTTTTTTCATTGACTTTGGACATAAATGGAGCGCGACTCGTTCATTTAAGGTTTTAAATTCCAAATAGGGTTTCTGATCACAAATTAATCACTGATATATTTCCGGTCTTCGTCATCATCATATCAGCCATAAACTGTCCACTGCTGACCATAAGCCTCCTCCATAAGAAGGGTTTTGTTAGTAGTCGCCATGCTATGTAGGCAAATTGACAACTGCAGTTAGATTTTCAGCGACGTTTTAAGAGGGACGCTGCTGTCCATCTCTCGACTATTAAGTTTCTTTAGTTGCCTCTTATGATATCCATAGGAAAGGAAAGGATGGCCCTTTTTATGCCAGGACCGCACAGTATTTCCAGTTTTAATTCTTTTAAGTTTTTTGTTATTGGTAATATGTAAATTTAAAATAATTACACAATCCTTGAATTGTTGTTACAATTTCTTTATTATGATGGAATATAGATTATGTGAAATGTACAAAAATACAGTAGATACGAGAAGATAGATATACATTTATTGGAGACATTAAATACTACTTTATGCTTATGTATTATTAACACAATAAAGTATTAAAAAGTTTAAATTATAATTCATTCAAAGACTTTAATGTTTCCTTTTTGATAACTGCACCTATTATATTTTTAATGCTTTCGCCTGTATAATTATCATTATTTTCAAAATGTATAGAAATAGAATGGAAAGTGTCATTCATAATATTTTTTAATTTATCTTTAACATCATTACTTGTCTTATCAAATGTTTGTGTATTTAATACTTCCTGTTTTTTATTAATATCAGTTAATTCTTGATTTTTACATAGTACTTCTTTCCTTAAATCTTCCATTTCCTGCAAAATTTCATTTTTACTTAATCTTTCTCTTTCAATCTTTTCTTCTAACTCTTTTATATCAAATTCTAACTGTGAAATTTTATTGGTTTTTACCAAGTTTATTTCTTCAAGATTTGCTAGTTTACTTTTTAATAAATTAATTTCATCTTCATATTGTTGTTTTAAGTTATCTGATGCAGTATTTTCATGTTTGACTAATGTGTTTGAATTTTCAATTCCTTTAGATTTTATTAATTCCTCATATACTTTTATTTTATTCTCATATTCAGTTAACAATTTCTGTAGTATTTCATTCTGAAAGCTTGTGTTAGCTGAATTAACATCTTTGTGTTCTAAATCAGTTATTTTTCTGAATACTTGATCTACTTTATCAGTCACTCTGTTCAAATTGATTCTGAGTTCACTATTACTTATTCTTTGTTCAGATATAAACAAATTCATATCATTTGAATTATTAGTAGGGCTGGTAATTATACTAGTTTGTGTAACAGGAACTAATTGTCCACATACATGGGTATAAAGAGGGTTTTTTTCTATAGATTGATCCGTCTTTGATAATGGTATTCTATGAGCTTCCAAAAAAGAATTACTTTCAATTAAATTTTTTTCTGAATTGTTTCTGCGAACAATATTTTTGGATAGTTTATGTCTTGTCGTCTTGGGATGATTATAAGCATCATTGGTGTCTGATGAGTCACTAGTTTTTAGTGCAGTTAGTGTACTTGGTGGCAATATTGACTGTCCTACAGTTGCCATTCTATTTAAAATTGACAATTTTGTCTTTCTATTCACTGAAGAATCTGTGTCACTTTCTTTTTCTGTCTGATTAGACACTTTTGATGGAGTATCCATAATATTTTTAATTTTATCAGGTTCAGGTGGCCCTTTTTCAGTATCAGAAGAGTATTTTATAATGGTATTAAAATTTTTTAGTATATCAATTATTTTCTTAATTTCATCTTCTTTACCATAAATAGTCCAATATTTATGTTGATTGTCATAATATGAAAGGTATAGGTTGTCCTTCACCATAACTTCCAATGTTGGTGAAACAGTAACACAAGATAAAGTTGTTTTATTTGAATCATATAATATAATATTATGTTGTTCAGATTTTATGACTTTTAAAATAGCAAGGCCAATTTTTCCTCTAGGAGAGTAAACATTATTAAACCTGAAAAATGTAAAGAAAAAAATGGGTTATTTTAAAATGTAACATTTATATACATGTATATATGCAATTTATTAAGAGGTTGAATCATAAATTTTAAATTTCCATTAAAACTTCTGCAGATGAGAGAGAAACAACAACAAGTAATTTTTAATACTTGTATTTCAGAGTCTCCATCTTGATCAAGATGATATATCTTATATCCATCTTATTCAATCTAGATGCAAAACAATAAGAGAGTCCTGTATTTAATTGTCTTGATAAATACTAGTATTAATAATCTAACTAGTAATAAAGTAGAAAAGAAGAAGTGGCTAACACACATGAAGTGTATACTACAAAATTTGAGATTACCAGTCTAAATGTTAAAACTATTATTAGGATTAAAAACTAATATATGTATAATTTTCAGTACCAATCTTCTTGATCACTTATTTTTCATTATCATTATGTTAAAAATGATGTGACAATACAGACTGACCAAATTTCTAAAAATTATTGTTTTGGCATCTCATTATGATTTCTAATATTATTTTTTTCTTAAATGTCTCCCATGTATAGACATCAACTAGTTATAATTTTATTATAATTTTACAGATAGTTTAAAATTTAATTGAAATTATTTCTTACCATTCATAACCAAGAAGAGCACAAGCAAAGACACATTCTGTAGATTTTGTTTCTTCTGGCTTTACAGCAAGATTATGTGGCTTAGGGGGTATGTACTTCAAAGTCTCATTTTCTATTTTCTGTTCCTTATGAGAATTCCCGAAAATATTCGCTAATGATGTACTAAAAATAAAATAATATGTAAATATGTTTTATACTTTAATATTGAGTTTGAATTAATTCTTTCAGAGAACATAAAATTTTACTTAGGCGCTGGGGTGAAGTAATCTTCATCTACTTCGTCGGTTTCCAACATAATTAATTTTATAAATTGAAGGATTAAATTAAAAATTCATTTTACAAAAACAATATCTAATAAAATTTATCCATAACAAATCATACGGTAAATTGACAGCAAAATGACAGCCGACAGTGACATATAATATATAAGTATTTTTTTTATAAAGCTGTCCAATTCCATAGTTAAACGACAGTAATCGATTATTAGGTTTTAATAATGTTCAAACAAATTTTATCTAAAATTAATTATTTAATTTTTAATGCATGATAATGTAATGGTAACTTCGCCTGCGCTAATGGTATATGTTGGTGGAGCACTAGTGAGGGACGATAGGTGAGGATAAAAATGCGAGGTCAGTTAGCCAATCATGATGTATATACTTAGAATTCAATACGATATTTTCAAGGAGCGACTACGTGGAGGTTTTACTTGATTAAGTACATTGCTAGCAATGCGACCGGTAGTCAGCACTATTAATAACCCCACTCCTCCCAAAGCAGGTTAGATAGCCGTTAGTTTTTTTTATTCAACTTAGAATGGCAAACAAGCTGACGGCCTACCTGATGGAAAGTGATAACCGTCGCCTATAGACATGAGTAAATTTACGCCATATCCTACTCTTTAAATCAAAACACACCCATGCACATAGCAAAATATCATGGTTGAAACACAAATGGGCAGAGGTACCCAACCAAACGACTTTTGTATAAAGTCTCCCTCTTGTACTAATCTAAGGTTAGTCCATTGTGATGAATACATTTAGAATTCAGTAGGACAGTTTCCATGGGGGACCACGTGGAGGTTGAGCTGACAGTGTATATTACTAGCAATGTGACTGGTAGTTCGCATTATTAACAATCCTACTAAAATTTATTATTTCAGTGCCTAGTGGTAATGCAATTGAAGGATATGAGGGAAGATATGTTTCATACTAGCAATGTACTCTGTCAGGTTAACTTTTATGTGGTTCTTCCTTGAAACCAACGTGGTTAATTTTTAGTGAATTCGCCATCATGAGTCAAATAATCCAATTTTATTTTTCTCACTGGTACTCTGACATTCACTGGTATCTTAATAGTCTAATATTTAGATTTGATAGTTTCGTAAAATTGCTGTTTTATAGACTATTATAAACTAGATCTGAACTCACTAGTTATATGATGCGTTTGTCTATGCTCTGATTGCTCTATCTCTCTACGCATGCATTAATCTGTCATATTTCTTTAATCCAACATCCTTTTTTATTTCTTACAAATTGTGTTCAATCTATTAACTACTTATCAATCAATTTATGCAAATAGGCATTATCTAAGTACATAATTGTGATATTGCGTGACTAATTACTTTGTTCTATTCCAAATAAAAAAATATTATTTCGTCCGTGTTCATCGAGCTGTGATAAAATAATTTATTGTAGAATAAGGGAAGAATGGCTAACACCTTCACATGTATTACTTGTCAGGTGTTGTTTAAAACACCAGAATTACAACGTGAACATTATAAATTGGATTGGCATAGGTATAACCTAAAGCGGAAAGTGGCTTCAATACCACCTGTGTCATTAGAGGAATTTGAACTTCGGTTGAAGGAGCACAAAGAACAGACAGAAAATGCGAACAATGATGAATCCCACTACTGCAAGTGCTGTACAAAGATGTTCAGTACAAAAAATTCATACAACAATCATTTGAACAGCAAGAAACATAAGTTAGCTGAGGAGAGATACGAAAGTGAGGAGCATTCAGATACTGACAGTTTCGTGAAGGTAGAAGCTGGACAGCCATCTAAACAGCCTGGGAAGTTTGTTGTTCTCAATGCTGATGATTCTGGGGATGAAGATATTGAGACAGATTCTGAAATTGAAGAGGTAAAATTAATAGTCTGGATATATATATATGGATGGCTTTTTATATATTTATTGTTATTGCATAATTATTTCATAATACCATTGTTGATATTTTAGAAATAATACAATTATATCTTAAATATAATGGTATAAGTAATAAAAATATAATTTGTGTGCTTATTATTTATTACAGTTAGACTCTGATGAGTGGGAAGAATGTCGTATCAAAGGTAGTGATTCTCTCATAAAGCCACGAGACTGTTTATTCTGCACTCATCACAGCAAAAATATGGTCAAAAATCTTAAGCACATGTTACAGGCACATTCTTTTTTCATTCCTGATGTTGAGTATTGCATTGATGTCAAAGGCCTTCTGTTGTATTTGGGAGAAAAGGTAAATTTATTATTTACATTTTTTGGCTAAGAGAATGGCAAACTGAATCACCGACTATCTGATGGAATGTAGTAACTGTCACCTATAGATATGAATAGCATAGTCATCACATAACATTGTGATGCTTATGGTACTCCTCAGATATTGTCATCTGTGAGGACTAAGATGTTATGTCTCCATACTCTATAATGCTATATTTATATTTAGTTGTATAAAAAAGAAATTATTATTCTATATGCTGCTGTATTTAACTTTGTCTTTATTTTTGGTTTCATCTATTTAGATGGTTCTATTATATTACAATTGATAACCAACTAAAATGCAATTTTACAGCTGAAATTGAATTTCAGTTCTTTAACAGTTTTGGATTTAAAAATATGTATTATTATAAAAAAGTAACAAATCTGGGTATTATTTTGATTATTAATTTAATATTATACCACTGAAATCAGAGAGAAAGGAGTGCTAATAATGGAGATGAATACCATAAATTACAGAATTTGAGGGTAACAGATTAATTAATTAAAGTTATATGTATTTGTCCATACATTTTGGTATTCTAACACTGGAGGTTTTAGTTTTATAAATTTAAAACCATATCTGATTTTTTTAAAAGCATCTGCAGACATAGTAGATACATCAATAGGGTTCTCTACATTGCTTTAGAAACAGTCCTGATAAAGAATATATGATAGTTTTCTGTTTGTTAATGTATTATTTCTATTGGATTTCCTCTTGTTCAAGGCTGCTTTTTGTTGCTATTTCTTTTGTAATTAATTAAAAAAGGTAGCAAAAAGTTATTGACATTGATTAATTATTTTAATTGAGTTATAAAAAAACAATGAATCCAGGTCATCAAGCTTTGACTACATAAATGTATAAATTTAATTAATTATAAAAATCAATTATTTATTACATATTTTAATTTCGCCAGTATTTTGTTTTGTAGATTTCACAAGGCTATATGTGTCTATGGTGCAATGATACTGGCAAAACTTTCTACTCAATGGAGGCTGCAAGAGCACACATGATTGATAAAGGACACTGTAAAATGTTGCATGAAGGACTGGCATTGGCTGAGTATGCTGATTATTATGATTATAGGTATGAAAAATATATTCCAGTTTGTTGGTATTGTTGCCTGGATATAAGTAAGACTAATGTAGTGGTTGTTTTTATATTTTTATGTACAGGAAGCATGATTTACCATCTCTACACTTGTGAATGGCATGATACATATGACATCCTTAATTGCTCTCTATTGGGCAGTAATCAAATTTTGTTTTCTATATTTATAGAAATTAGGATAATTTTTATTCACCATGGTTAAAATTAGTAGGTCTTTTAAAATGATGATTGAACTTTAAGTTATAAGGCTGGATATATGATATAAAATAGTCACAACAAAATAATAAAATCTGCTACTAAATATGAAGTCTTATTAGGTATTTAATTTTTTCAATTAGGTGTAACTTTCGAATAGTGGTGCCAATTTTTGGACACCTTAAGTGTTCATTCCTCATTCATGTCTATTGCAGATGGAGCTATAATATATATTGTTATTATATCACCAAAATATTTGGACATTAGCAAGATATATTATGCAGAGGTGCAAAAATATATATCTGCAGTTTGTGGCAGCTTGCTATAATATAATGTATAGTTCTATCTGTGATAAGCTGCAAAATTTAGATATGAGTAGGAAATAGGACACTGTGTCTAAAAAAATTTTAATACTTATTTAAACGATGTGTTATTTTCAGTTCCTCTTATCCTGACAATGATAAGAATGATGAAAATATGGATATTGATGAAGAGGTAGATGGACCTGTTACTCTAGAAGGTGATGACTTTCAGCTGGTGCTGCCCTCGGGTGTAGTTGTTGGTCATCGTTCCCTCATGAAGTAAGTATTTATTAGTTTTTACTACTTAGTTATTATGAATAATTAAAAAAAAATGATCACAACTTTGATATCTGATGGGGTAGTTAAAGGCATTAGTTAAATTATGCCATTTTATTGAATTTAACAATTGAATAAGGCAATACTGAATACTTTAACTAAATTTACGTTACCAAGAGGAATTGCACACTTCTTAAAGTCGATAAGAAATAAATCTTTCCTGCTTGTTTATTGTTTTAATGTACAATTGAAGAAACAATATGTATGTGTAATGAATGCAAATAATTAAAGTACCATATATTTCCTAGAATACTTATAATAGGCCATTATTTAATAGTATTTTTATAATTGCAGATATTATAAACAAAATCTCACTAGCAACAGTCAGGCTTTAGTGAAGAAATCTGATCGAAAATTGCATAGACTTCTGGGAGTCTACCGAGCATTGGGCTGGGCGCCCAAAGAACAGGAATTAGCAGCTAGGTAATTATATATCAATGAATTTTTACTAGTCATATTTGTTATGAGTATTAAGGTCCATGCAGGCAAAGTAGTAATAATGCACTTACCATAGTATAGGCTCTTTAGAAAAAGAAACAAGCTTAAGGTTTTTTTAGAGTACTTACCTCAGAATGAAAAACGGAACCCTTAAAGGATCATTTCGTTGTCCGTCTGTCAAGACCTTTTTTTCTGAGGGATGTATGGAAGTATCAAATTGATATTTATATCAAATATACACTAAGCCTGTATTTCCTTAAAGTTGTAAAAATCACACTTCTAAATTAACACAGTCCAAAGATATGACTGTTTATACAGGTATATGGGTACATTTTGACATTTGCAAGGGAATCAAAACCAATAGGATACTTCCTGTTGACTTAATATTTTAACTTCTTACTTATTTAATTAATATAGTACAGCACAAGTAATGGGACAAATCCGAAAATCGTTAATTTGTAGTTATATCAAAACAAAGTTTTTTCAATTATAATTTGTATGGAACCCTCGGTGCTCGAGTCCGACTTGCGATTGGCAGATTTTTTATATCATAATGGCAGCAAACAACCTTATAGTTAATGTGATGGTAGCAGTTATCATAGTCTAACAGAACAATATCGTGTGATTGCCTGTGGTTGGGTTAATCAATAGGTGAAGATACTTAAATCACTGGCGTACCTTCAGGCATTCTGGAGCAATCTTTGTTGGTTGGAGTATTTTACTGTCACACAATAACAAAATGAGAAACTGTCTGTAAATATATAAGTACTCAGTAGTTTTAGCATATATATTATTCGTAAATGCAAATCCACAACCTTATATTAAAATTGTTTTTCTACAGGAAAGCAAGAGATATTCACTTCATGAAACGTGTACAGTCAAAATGGCAGATGAAACTTTCATTAAAAAGTAACAAGTTCCAGAAACATTATCGACCCCAAGTAAACTTTTAAATGTAATAGCTACATTAATAGCGAAAATTTCCTGGTATACATATTTACGTAAAGGATTTCTTAGTTGTTATTAGTCAAATCATAAAACTGTTTAAAATAATCTTGTTGTATATGGGTAACTAGGATCGTGTCTAGGGTTGGAGTTGTTTTCTTTAATAGTATAATTTTGTCAAATACATCTGTACTTACTGGTCCATAGCAAAAAGTTCACGTGTACTCTAAATCAATTTAAAATTAATTACATTAGAAAGCAATTGCGGCCTTATTACAACCCTTTTAGTCATTTGTCATTGACGATTTGTTATTAATAATGATTTACACGAAGATGAATATATTCATTTTTCAGATCCTAATTTTAAATAATTCGCCACTTCTTGTCATATTCATATTTTTGGGCATATGAATATTTAATAATTTTTATTTACGAATATATTCAGTTATACTAATTTGACAAGACGAGTTGTGACGAATAATGTTAAAATTTTTTTATTCACATATAACGTTCTTATTAAATATTTACGATTCGTCAATGTGAGAATGTAGCCTTAGTAATTGTGCTGTTTTTCTCACTTGATACACCAATTTCTGCACTATTATATGTAACTGGTATAGAGTAGTCCAAACTTGATGTTGTGGCGTAAGTGGTTTGAATGTGTTTATAAATAAAATAATGTAGAAGAAACGGATAAATAGTAACAATCAGTATATACATATATAAGTAACAGTGTCGGTTATTGTCATCAAAGGAATCGTCAGCCTACTTTACGTTCCTGGTACATAATATAAAAATATATTTTCTCGTTATTTCTTATGCGTACAGTAGCGTAAATGTATTTTATAGTGAAACCTTATGAGCCCTCAGATCTCTAATGTTATGAAAGGTGTTTTTATGGAAGATACAAACTTCAAGTTTGGGCAATTATTGGCATTTTAAACAAAACTTTGCTTGATATTCATTTTGATAGTTCTAATTGAAATACACCTATTATTTAGTAGAGGAACTGCAGCATATTTGGAATACTAGTTTGATTTTTGAGAATAAATTGAAAGAGGAACGGGATCGGTAGGTAAAAAATACATTTAATTATTGTCAAAGTATTAAACTTTAATAATGAGAACAATCAAATATAACAAAAACCAAAATCTTTATAAAAATGCCTATGCAACTAGAAAACTCCAAAAACTATATATGACTTAGAGTGCAGGTAATTTGGAATATAGTATTCCAAAATACATTCACATTTTTTCTTTCTTTATTGCTTACACTTTTTCTTAGAAACTAATAGATTTCTTATCTTTGTAACAGTTTTATTAATCTTTAGTTCTCTAGATAATCAATCTTTTTCAATAATCAGTCACAATAAACACTGATCAGTGTTTAGTTTGAAGTTATAGTTTACTATTCTTAGTTACTCTTGCAGTAATCACATATATACACACCGGATTCATAATCATCACAAGCACCATGAACCCACAATTCGCACATTCAATACTGTACCCCATTCTTCACCCCTTTTATCCTCCCTATATTTTCCGTTACAGAAATATACTCAGCGTCTTCGTCGGTAGGGACTGCAATCTCATCTCTCTTGCTACATCGTCGGAAGAGTCTGTGTTATTTTCAGATATAGCCCTAGGATTCGGATTTGATGAATCACTCTCTGTCATATTTCTTTTCCTTGTCTATTTTGCTATCTTTTTCTTGCTCTTTTCCTTAATATTTTCTCTTTGTTTTGTTTTCTTTATCATACTTTTTAAATTGTGCATTCTCAAGATCTTTTTTTATAAGAAGAACTTGAAATTACTGCCGATCTTGCTGGCTTACCGCCTCTAATGCTAGTATTCTTTTTTATTACTACTTATAAAATATGCATAAAATTTGGAATATTCCAAATTATGTTCACTCTCGGTATTCCAAATTAACAACACATCAACCTTACCTAAAAATCCATGTCACATTTTTAATTTTAGAAATATTCACCAAACCATTGTAACATCTTAAACTAACAAGGTCAACTAGCTGTTTAAATAATTATAATAAAGATTTAAAGTATTACAGTAAAGATTACAAAGGATTGCATTCTTACCGAAAAAGTTTTCAAAACAAGTGTCTCGTTTCTTTGGGGCTGGTAGCTGGAATGTCCAAATGGTGTCCTGATTTTAACTATCTATGGCTTCGTATATCGAATGGCGTTATGTTTACTTCAAAAAAACACAGATAGCGTTTATATTGATTCAGATATGGAAGTATTCCAAATTACCTGCAGTATTCCAAATATGCTGCACTTCCTCTATATTACTTTTCTCGAATGTATGCATTGTCGTATGAAATATTTTTATTTTGGTGCTGTGGAATATACAATGAATATCGTAAATAGTGATATGTAAATATAATTATTTCTTACATTGATAAAAACGCTTGTATAATACAACAAAGTCAACATGTTTAATAGTAAGGATCTCCTAATTATTCAGATTATTATTATATCTACTATGTGATTCTATGTACACTATTAAATATGTAATATCTAGAAATTATAGCTACATACAGTAATGAAATGTGAAAAAAGTGAAAAGAAAATAAAAAAGAAATAAAAATCGTAAAACTGAAACATTGTTATTATTTGTACTCTTTATTTTTTTTGCCTTTTCACATAAGTATATCTTTTACCCTCCATAGTTCCATTTATATTGGTAGGCTGTCCCCATGTCCATGGTATTTTTATTGGTTTTCTGTCAATTTTGAGGCTTATCCTGTACAAAGCGAATGTGTTTATCTTTCCATGAAAATAGTGCGAGATTATTTTGGACAATCCCTCGTTAACAACGTATTTCGGTTCCACATCTGGTACTCTGTCTATATATTTCATAATGATTCTTTTAATCTCTTCATCTGTATTTTCTTTCTTCGATTCCAAAGCATTTGTAATAGTTATTGTTAATAGAATCTGCAATTTTTTTAATTTGAAATTTAGTATATCTAACATAGTCATAAAAATATCACGTCTAATGTCTAAACTTATATTTTCTATTGTGATTTTTAGTAAGGGATACTATATATATATATATATATATATATATATATATATATATATATATATATATATATATATATATATACAAAGATAATACACTAAGGGATGTACTTATATAACATTTGATATCTATTTCGCGACGAAATTAAATATTTTTTTGCAAAGGTCTACATGCAATAAAAAGACCCATGTTTGTTTGAAAAACATTTTTTAATTCCAGTTTTAAGTTTTAGTGATAGAATATCTCTTTAAAGACACGACAATTTTACGATGTATGCTAGTATTTGCAGATTTTAACGTTATTGCTACCGACAGATAGGTACTATATTGTATATACCTACATAAACATTAATATAGTAAATCTTACCAATATTCGAAACATTTTCCCATAACTTGAAAACATCGAAGCGTGTGCAAAATCTCATAAACATTTTTAATCAATGACTTTATGATCACGTCATGGTTATTTACTTATTGTTAGATAGGTCTCTTTCCTTTGTTATTAAAATGTATGTTTATGTAAACAACTAACTTCGTGTAATATCATAGTTCTTTCTATTGTATCTGATGATTTAATTTTGTTATGAAAGGTAAATCGAAAATGACGTATTGCAAACTTAGAGGAAAGAGGAATTAATGTGTATTTTTCGATCAAATAATTATTGGTTTTATACAAACTAAAACAAAATATTAGCTGAAACTGAGCTGAGTAAAAGGCTTTTATAAATAAAAAATAATTTGTTCACGACTCTAATCTCTGATGGGGTAGTCATGGGCATTTTATCGGAATAACCTGTGTGTCTGTTGGATTTGAACTCACTTGTGATCTTACGAGTCGGAAAACATCAATAGACTATGCCCCTCTCAAAGTACTTAAGGTAGCTAATTGATTTGTAAATATATTGTAAGTGACATTCCAAATAGCAATAATGATTAATGCCACAAAATGTGAAATGATTAACTCAATAGTGTTTTGTTATATATTACTAAATATGCTGCCGGCTCTTTCATATTATTAATACAAAAATTCAGTAAAATATAATTTAAATTGTTTATATTGTTTAATTTAATATTAAATACTTATATCTATTAAGTTGTTAAATTATAGTAACGATAATAGGCATCAGAATTTCAATAATGTCTCTTTTATATTTATGTTGATATTCATTATATAGAATTTCTTATATTCTACTCTATCTTATAAGCATTTAAAGACTAATATATTTTAATCTTAGATAAACAATACTAACTAGGTAGTTGCCCGATTTAGAGAGTGAGATCCTATATTTAATAGTAAAAAAATGCAAAAGTTTGTTCAAATTATTGTACTTTTTGACTTTTTTATATTTAATATTAAGTATTGGAAAATATTGAATGCAATCGAAATGGCAAATCGTAACTACATCGAGTAGTCGTCAAATGGACGTCATTTTACCTCATATTCGGCGTCTATTCGATGTGATTTCAATTTAATCGCAATGTTAAAAATGACTTTGCTGTTCAATTTGTTGAGGCGTTATTTTACGATGTCACATTTGACTTAATAATTTAGTTTACATCTTTTATCTAGTTTATATTGTTAATCAAAAATCTTAATTTTGTTTTGCTTTCGATAAGTAGTCCTCTTCATGGTGTGTTTGTATAGGTAAGTCCAGTATTCCTCTAGGCGCTGTGCCTTTTCTTGAGAATCCTAAACCGGCTCGCAAGACCGCGAGACCTGCTTCAATAGTACGTTTTCGGTCCGAATCGTTACCAAGAGCTGGGTTTATTTCTACTAGGTCTATAGCTCGTAGTCGGCCCGTCGAGTAAATAATCTCCATCAGATTGATCGCCTCACGGAGTGTGAGACCGCCTCGAACTGCAAACAGTAAGTAATGTATATGAAAATTATTACAATGAATTTTTTTTTATATAATAATTGGAGATGTACATTTGGGTGCTACATCAAATGGTAATAAGAATTAGAGACAATTTATAAATAGCTTCATGAGCAGAATCAACTCACGAATTAACTAAACCTTATTCACTGTTTATCCTGCTGTGTTGGCTTAAAAGCTACTTTTCACGTATCTCTTGATACAACAAGATAGTATGTTGAAGAATACATTTAACAAAGTATAGACATTAGACATTACTCTAAGAACAAGAAATTTTTGGCATAACGGTAGAAAGAGAATAAATGTTATAAAAATCAAAGATTTCGTGTTCTTAGATAAAAATGCTATGAGCGTATGCATTATGGCATAGTAATAGAAGACGTCATTGAGCAAACAAATAAGTCACCTCCATATTCGTAACGTATAATAGTGACTTAGCTATTCCATTTGAATGGATAACGTAAAAATAATACTTTTGACGTGGCAAATAAGTACAGACCTTGACAAATAAAACTGTATGTAGAATAAGACAAAAAAATATTTCCAATCTCGCTCACACTTCTTTGTTTCATCTATAATGGTTTCTCTTCTATTACTGTTATTGCGTGTTATATTTATTAGAATTGTTGGTATTATCCTAAATCTATGACCTACGTTCTACACTGTGTAGATATTTGTGTTATTCGTTTTTGTGCAACTAAATGTGTTTTTAAATAATTTTACCGCATTTTCCGTCTATATTCATTGAGTAATTGTATAATATTTCTGATGCGAACATATTGTCCTTGTTGCAAACAAATATAGCTTATTTGCCGATAATGTGATGTTTTTTTTTACATGGATAATAATGGAATAGTAACACCGCCTGCTCTAATAGCATATGTCGTGATGAATACACCTGGAATCCAGGACGATGGTGTCTACGGGGGACCACAAGGATGTCGACCTGATAGGGATTGTTAACAATGGGGTTGGTAATTCGCATAACTAACAATCCATTCACCCCGATAGTATGATGTTACGTTCATGGCACTAGTCATGTCTATAGGATTATATTATATGCTATAGGTGACGGTTACCACTTTCTATCTGGTGGACTATTTGCTTGTTTACCATTTTAAGTTGCATAAAAAACAGATATTAAAATTACGTAATTCTAAACATTAATTTTGATCCATAAAATTTATACCTGGAGTACCGGTGCTTGGTGCTTCTAATGCATCGAGTGAATCTATGTCAAAGCTTACATGGATCGGCTTATTCAAGCAAGGGTCCAAAGTTTGCAGTATGTGATTGATGGAATTTTTTATACCAAACCTGAAAGAAATTATATTATTATGTATTTAAATATATTCATATAACTGTATCTATGAAGTGCAAAACACTTGCAGTATCCACACTTTATAAGTAAATATTTACCTACATAGAATACTTGAAATTGTATGAAAATTGTAAAATATTTAATAAATAATTTTGATTGTAGGTGATAGGGGAAAAAAAAAGAAATTAGCGTTTTGCAATATAATTGTAAGTAGTTTAAACTAATCTAATCTTCCTCCATAGTTTTTTTTTTTATGGGTGAAAATGGTATAGTAACCCCGCCTGCGCTAACGGAATACGCTGGCGGAGCACTAGTGAAGGGTAATAGATGAGAATGAAAACAGGCCAGTTAGCTCATCATGATGAATTCATCAGGAATTAACCATGATAGTTTCCAGGGGGAACCGCGAGGAGGTCGACCTGGTTGGATATATTGCTAGCAATGGGATTCTCAGTCTCCATTACTAACAATCCCTTTCCGCCTCTTCCTCCATAGTTATATTGTTATCTACTTATACTTCTTATATCAAAGTTATAAAGTGAAACTTACTCTTCAATATCTTCCATGGCGAATGTCGGTACATTGTACTTTTCAATAACCAATCTTTCATATTTGTCCACAGATCGAAGACCGACATATCCCAAGTTCTTTATTGAAAATCTGCAATATAGCACAGAATTTCGTGAGATATTTTATATAAGGAATACCTAGATGTATTGTTGAGGCCATGAATAAAATATATAAGTACTTTCAATTAATTTTTTACATTCAATTAATTTTTAACGACAGTTATCGTTTAAAGATTTTTTTTGCTAATTATTTTATGCAAATTTAAAACTACGATTAGCTATTTTAGTCTTTCTGATTATAATTAATTTTTATGATGATATGAATATAATGAATGATAATGGAATGGTAACCTCGCCTGCGCTTGGAAAAGGGATTGTTAGTTATGGAGACTAAAAATCCCATTGTTAGCAATATACCTAACCAGGTCAATCTCCTCGTGGTTCCCCCTGGAAACTATAATGGTTAATTACTTATGAATTCATCATGATGGGCTGACTGGCCTGTTTTCATTCTCATCGATCACCCTTCACCGGTGCTCCGCTAGCGTATCCTGTTAGCGCAGGCGGCGTTACCATTCCATTTTCACCCATCAAAAAAACCTCGCCTGCGCTATTGATATATACTGACGAGGTACTAGTGATGATAGGTGAGAATGAAGTAGGTTAGTTGGCCCATCGTGACGAATTGAGCAGGAAATAAATTAAGACGGTTTCCAGGAGGAACAGCGTGAAGGTCAACCTGATAGAGTATATTGCTAGCAACGAAGTTGCTAATCTCCTTTCTTAATTATCCTTTCTCCTTCCTAATTGTTATATTTATTTTATCTTTTTACAGTAGGTATAGGTATACATAATATGACAACACAAACTATTTTGTATTATTTAAAATACTTTCTAACCGGGTAGTGAAATTAAACTTCACTGAATCTTCTTTAATATTGTTGTCTAAAAAAGTGTTCTTAAAATTTAATAGACTTTCTTAAAAAAAAAAAGAATAAAGTATATTTTTTTTTACAGAAAAAATTAATTGTATGTATTTTTGAATAGCCTTTTTATATATTTTATGTTCGTAATTTAAAAAGCAATTTTACCGAGAAAACGGGATAAGAACGAATGTTTATAAATTGCTCTTTTCAATAAAATTTTTATTACTTTATAATTTTGTTTGAGTGAAAAACTACTAAATAATATAAAATGAAAATCAAAATATTAAACACACAATTTAAAGAAACCAATGAATTTTGGTGAGAAGAACTGAAAATCTTATACACATATATGTTTGGTCAACATGCTCATTAAAAACAAGTACTTACTTGGGAACTTGCCAATCCATCGTTGGTAGGTACGGCCAGTAATCTGATAGCTCTTTTACAAGCAGAGCAACTGGCATCCCGTGCACTGACCCCGATTCGGAAGTTTTATTAGTATTGATGTCGGCATGTGCATCCACCCATATCAAGATCATGTCTTCGTTTACTTTGTAATGACCGTCTACAGTGCCTACGAAATGTTAAATACATAAGTTTTCTCATTGTCATTTAAAGGTTTATTACATTTAGGTACATACTTTATTAAAAATCCATTTTTATGTTAATGGTAGAGTTTCTAATGATTGATAATGGAGTAGTAAATCTACCTATGCTATCAATTTATGCTAGCGGGGTACAATGAGCGCTGTTGAAAGCAGATCAGTTAGCTAATTGTCACAAATTCCACAAAAAACAACTCAATTCCACGACAATTCCCAGGGGAAACGGAGGTGGACCCGATAGGGTATATTGCTAGCAATGACGCTTTTAGACTTTCGTTATTAACAATACCTTTTTTTCTAAAAATGAAAGTAGGTCATTTGACTCATCGTAATGAATTCTTTAGATCAACCTGACAAGGAACCTATTTTTTTTTTATTGGATGAAAATGGTTACCACGCCTGCGCTAATGGGATACGCTGGCGGGGCTCCAGTGAAAGGTGATCGATGAGGATAAAAACAGGCCAGATAGCCCATCATGATGAATTCATCAGGAATTAATCATGACAGTTTCCAGGGAGAACCGCGAGGAGGTCGACCTGGTTGGATATATTGCTAGCAATGGGATTCTTAGTCTCCATTACTAACAATCCCTTTTCCCCTCAGGAACCTATATTTTGAACGTGCGTATATACGACGAGCTATGAAAATGAATAAAGAGAGATATTTGAGTAATAATAAAGATCATTGACAGTTGGGTTACCCTGCCTACCCTCTAAAAAACCTGGTATGAAGACAGTTTATATACCAAATAGTAATCTGTTTCAGAAATAAAAGTATAGTTTTTATTACTGCTCCGAAGAAATAATTTGATTTCTCGGGACATAAAATATGTTATTGGTTTGGATTTATGTTATAATGTCCAAGACGATAACTTTGTTTAAGAACTTTTGTATCTAACAATAATATAACAATAATATTATGGAACCTTTTTTAGCATTAACGATTAATATTTTAATTATAAATATAAGACACTGAGACAATTTGAGAGCACACTGTACAAATGGCATTTAGAAGTGTTATTACTTAATTAAGGACTTGATGGACTAGAAAAAAAATTCTCTTTATAAACACATTCATAATATGATACTTGTTCATTAGTATTTGAAAAATTTTACTATAAATACTAAAATTTTACATGCCATTGTTTTGATAAAAGATGCATGTTCATAACATATTATTACTAGCATCTGTATAACGTATTTTTCAACAAATAAATTATTATTACTTGTGAATTACTTACATCTGTATTAACTGTCAAATTTCAAAAAGAAATGTTTATGTTAATTTGGGTACTTTTTAATAATGTTAGATAATCCTGGCCTGGTTCTATAAGAAAAAGTGAAAATCGAATATATTTGTAGATACGTTTGTTTTAGACATGCGAAAAACCGTGACCCTACGACGTACTGTCTCCTTACATATACGAGTATATGCTTCCGGTAGCGTAAATGTATCTACAAAAATATTTGTTTGCACTTGTACCTTGCACCCTAGAAGGACTGAAGAGTCTATAGATTTTATAACTCACCAACTCCGATAGAATGATCTCCACCTATAGTAACGGCTATTCGTCCATCTCGAAGCACTTGTGATACACGTTCAGAGAGTTGCTCGTTGCAGGCCGACACTGTCGGCAGATGTGACATGTTGTTCACCGCAACGGACTGCTTCGAAGATACCGTCTCGATATCGCCATAGTCCACGACGTTGAGACCATCTATCGAATTATATATATATATATATATATATATATATATATATATATATATATATATATATATATCTTATATATTTATTGGAAACTTTACTTGCTATATTTACTTTACTAGATACATATATTTATAAAGAAGGAATATGTTAGATAGTAGCAGGCATAATTGTAGTTTGTTGTAGATTTCGCAAGAAATATGATAGAATTGTGCATAAATTGATTCATCTAATCGAAAGATTGATTATGCATCTATAATAAAAAATAGTAGAAAATTATTGAGAAAGAAAATTAACGCAGTATTACAATATACATTATATACCTACTATATTATGTTTCTATGAAACTTAGAATGGTAAACAAGCAAATCGCTTATCGGATGGAAAGCAGTAACTATCGCCTATAAACGTGAACAGTACCACAGACATCTTAGAATACTTTGTGATAATATACCCATTGTATCTCTTATGCGTTGCTATTCTTGAGGATTATGATGTTATTCCTCCGAACCCTAAAATTTCACTCCTATTCTTTAAGCCGAAATACAGTTATAGCAGTTTTATAGTAGAAATATTATATAGGTATAATCGTTTAAAATATGTTATACAGTATAAATTATATATATTAGACTATTATTTCTTAGCAGAACTATGTGTATTTTTAATTTAATAAAGTATTTAATTAGGAGAAGGAAGACTCAGCACAATGAATTTTAAAGTATATTTGTTTTACATATTTGGCTCCAGCTCCGTTCTATCTTGTTCTCGCCTTGTATGTGGTTATAAATTGTCACATAACATGCAAAGAACTGCGTTAAATTAATTTGGCAGCAAGATAACAGTTGCAAATTAGAGTGTACAAGGCACGCTGCCATGTTGTCCTCTACTTTACTGACATCTTAAACAGAATTTGTTGGGGATTTATTAAAAGAGGAGATTTAGGAATTGAATTCTATGTCTTCAAATGACTTCAGAAAAACTTTTTCGACTGTGTATATTACTCTTATTTATTTTTTTGTAACATATATTACACATTTTGCATCTTTGCAAAAACAAAAAAGCACTGCTTTTTTGTTTTTGTCGGGCAACTAATTATTTTTTTTACTGAATCGATTTTGATGATTTTCTTTATTGCAGATCGTCTTATTCACGATTAAAGGCGGTTTGAGTTTTTGGAAGTGTTGAATTATTTGTTTTTTTAGTCATAATTTATTTTTAATGTATGCACCGAAGCACCAATCGAGGTTGTTATCCAATGCACAGGTACTTAATGCCTATTGGCAATCCCAGTTAGTTCAATTAAATACGTATAAGCACCTAAATAACAAAAATATAACAAACATTTATTTGTATTGATTCGGAATACAACAAGTAGATAATCTAATGACATGCTTTCTAACTGTATTGGATTGACTGGAAGAGATCTCTGTCAGAGATAAATCCACCTTTGCTTACAATATTTATAAATGCACAATACAATATTTATAAATAAGAATATATAGGTATAATCTACATTAATATTATAAAGGTGAAAGAAGAATTTGCGACCTTTTGGGACACATCTACTAAGTACTTTCGTATACTTATATACAATAAATTCTATCATATATATGTATAAATAAATAGTATTTACCTATTTCTTTAAGATGCTCAATAAGACCAGCAGAGCGCATAGCGGCCGGCGCGACGCTCACTCCATATTTCTTTTGGCCTTTCTCAAAAGGCACACCGATGATGCCGACGCCTTTTAGCGGCTCCCATTTCTTGTGGCTCATATTACGCACGAACACTCTGACAAAATTCATTTTTACTCTTATTATAATCACAAGCCACAGACAACACCGTTCTAAGAGATAACGCAAGCATTACTAAAACAAAACAAAGATAGTTATGTGTCTTTAATAATAAGAGGTCAATGGGTCAGGCGCTTACATGATAATTTCGAAATTACGTCATTAACACTAAGTATAGATAATGATTGATTCCAGATATTATTAGACAACAAACAATAAATGGCATGATTAGCTGTAGATACAATTTATTAATTAATCTATATATGGACAATAGCTGAAATATATATAGGTAGGTATATTACGTTTTTTTTTTAAATAAGTGAAAATGGGTAAAGTTTTTTTTGACAATTGTTTTAACTTTATTGATCAGATTGAGTAGGTACGTACTGAATATGGTGCTTTATAACACAAATATAAAATTTTGATAAAATTAAAAATAAAAACAAACTTTGTATTCTACTTAAAGAGATTGTTATGGGTCCGAGTTTTGTAGTCAGGAGGGTTATATTTTTCAAAACACTTCGGTGTAATAGAAATCAGAACAAGGACGTATCTGAAAAGCAACATAAATTGGAACTAATTGCCCTACAACGAATAACTATATACGAGTATAACTAATGAAAAAATAATCTATATAAAGAATTTAATATTATTAATATGTTTTGAAAATAAGAAGGCAATTTCATTGAATTTTTATCATCCGACTATTATAAAACGAGCGTAATATCTTTAAGATGCAGGTAGTTAAATTTATACTTATGAATATTATCTAGATTACGTTTATTCTTTTTTTTTGGAAAAATCTTAACGAATAATCGACTTTAGTAACGATTTACCAGATTCTAAATAGTAACTGATTTACTCAAGTAATTCGAGTAACCATAATTAGACATAAGCTCGTTAATATACGTTACCTACGGTATATTTCATTACCAAGATAATATTGTCATTTTCATAACAATATCAGCGAGCAAGTCAGTTGATTATAATCATGATAACAGTATTTATTAAGTTTTTTCTAATGGAATGGCTGGGTCTACAAATCGTGGTATAATAGAATTTTTAATTGTTATATAATAAAAATTTAAAAGTAAATCTTAATTAGTAATTTATTAAATACTAATTATTAAGATAATATAACAGTAATATATTATATATTTATCGACATTAACATCAGCACTGTTACGAGCGCGGAGTGATTTACTAGAGTCTATAGTGAAATTTAATTGTATTTTCTCAATCCATGGCAAGTACGGTCCAACGACAGTGAATATATTGTATTTAACACCCATAGATTTCAATGTTAGAATTCCACATGGGATTGCCGTTATCGCGGCTAATTCGCTTTCACGCAAAACGGGCGCCCCTTTGCCGAATTCTTGCTCGTTACTCCTTCTATTAGTAGAATATTCAATTCCACAGACGCAATAGTACCACTTAGGATTTGTACAAGGAATTTGATGATATGTTTGAGCTTGCAGCACTAATGTATCTGAATTATCAATTTTTCCGTAGCCTACTGCAGTAAGTGTTGCACTTTTCAATTCAGAAGCAAAATATTTACCAATTTTAGGGCCTTCAAAATAATATATTAGTACCGGACGACTGGATAATACTAAACCTATATTACTGTGCATTCTAGTTATATTATACTGGGAAGATTTGAACTCAAAAACATAACCTCCATGTAATTTTGTAGATGCAATTTCTATTAAATTATTATTGTTGATGTTTTTTCTTAATACGGCCATTCCCATTACGATGTATTTGAGTTTTTTACTTATGCAACTTCCGGATGTGAGAACAGTTTGCTTGTCAATAATAGTGCCTGTGCACATATAATCTTTGGTATTGTTTAATAATCCCACAATGTATGGATGCACTTCTGCCAGTGTTTCTATAGTAAGCCAATCATTTTGGCGACTTACTACTCCTTCTGATCTATAGAAAGTAATTATAACCAAAATAATTCCAAATAAATAAGTATTCCATGAAAGTATCATAGCAAGCTATTAAAGAGAGCATTGTTTGTTTGTAGGGTAATAAAATGCGCTATATATTGGTATATTCCAAAAGAAGAAACACGATAAATTGTAGATATTGTCAATTTCTGTGAATGACATGTGAAATGTCTAATAATGGTGGAAAAAGAGGAAATATGAGGTCGGAATATTGATGCGCTCTTTTGCTTAAAAGAGGTTTTGTGTAATATTTTGTTGATATTTTCCTATTTTTTGACAGCTCTAGGCTGCTCCAAATTTCCTGTAAAACGGTACGTACCTATCTTGTAGTAAGCGTTGTGCATTTCATTTTTTCTATCAAATAGAAATGAGTGTATATTGTTTTAAAAGAACTTAAATTTAATGAAGTTGTGTACAAGTTATTGCAAAAAAACACTTTTGAAATGAAATTAAGAACAAATCGAAACATTTGATTAATAAATTTTTTAGATTAAGCTATAAGCTAGTTCGTTGAACTGGAAATGCTGATCAATTTCTTAACATTTTTATCAAATTTTGTTGAAAAAATCTATTTAATTTTATTGATATTGCCTCTTTAATAATATAAAAGAGGTATCAACTTTAAAAAAAAATGCATGGTTAAAGTTAAACATACAATTGTTAATGTTTGTAACTGGTGAATGTTTAAGTTTGACCATTTAAAAGACCTGAATTATATAATAGTATAAGAATAAAAATTTATTGAATGTACTAAAGTAGTACTTGCTTCAATGACACTTGAGCAGTCGAATTTCTATTGATGGAGCAAAAGTGGGAATATGCATGGATATTCGAATTCGATGGTCCTTCAACGACAACGCTGTAGTACGAGTATGTCCTTTTTTTTTAGATGAGAATAATGCTTACTTGTAGGAATAGGTTAGTCTTAAAATATGTGTATTGTGAGTTGATGATAAAGTAGTAAGTGCTAAATGTGATTTACACAAACTAGAATTTTTTTTAATACACATAATCATCTATAGTTTTACCTTAGCATTAAGATTTTGTACAAGTCAATAAGTATCCATTATTAAATTTCAAACAGAAAAAATTTTTACTCAAATTTGTGAAAAAAATACTATCGACTCTGGTTGTGAGTACGTATAGTTTTATTTTTTTGAAACTCTTTATTACAAAATAAGTTTAAGGATTTGTTATATCTATCCTATCTAAAACGGATTTTTGCCAGCCCCAGTAAATATTTATATGTATAAAATTACACTGTATTAACTATAAAACTAAAGCTAAAAATAATACTCACTTCGTAAGTACGTAATACTCTTTATTATTAATTTGTATCATAGGGCATATTTTAATTTAGATGTACCTAATGTTAATTCAATATATTGAGATTTAATCATCATTATTCAGACAGCGGTGCTGTATTTCAGGAAAGGTAGGTACAGTCCCTAAATACAGAATTGTGAACGTTTCATTACACTCGACCTATTTCACTTGGTTCAGCCACCGTTCTTATGTATTCAAAGAAAGCTTTGTTAAAATCAATTTCATTTGGTCGAATGATCAGCGGTCAGTCATTTTGGGGAGCGATTGTTATCATTGGCTTTGACTTGACTTGTGTTAAAGGTCTAGAGAAAATTCAATTTCTCTGTAAAGCTTACTTCGATTTCTTTAAATTGCATTTTTTCTATCGGCTTGTCTTCAATCAATTGGAAATTCCAGTGATAATGAGAGTTGGGGGAACAAAATGTTCCATCTACCGGCGCTTTCATGTGCCCAGACACAAAAGGAATCGATACTAATAAAAACTCTAATCTTCTTCTGCCAGGAGTATAGGTAGTTCAAACAATTTAGGTACATATGTTTAATTTTATTCAAGTAAGCGTATATTATTTCAAAAAAGAAAATAGTATAATAGTATATAATCTTTATGAAAATAATTATTACTACTACAAATTAATAATACCAGTAACAGTATTTAATTTTTTTTTATTATAATAAAAATAAAAACTTCTGTTCCCGTCTGCATAAAACTAACGACATGTATTTTATGTAGAACATATAGATTTTAGCAGAACATATTTTGTAATGTTACTACACATATTATGTATTACTATTAAAAATCACCATATATACATATTACTATTACTCACCTAAACTGACTACCACCATGCTACTCAATTATGCATTTCATGTTGTTTACAATCAAATTGTTGTAAATTATTGCCTTTCTGTCAAATAACGATAAAATATTTTGTAATGAATATAATAACTAAATACATAAAAAAATTAAATACCTCCATACAAAAATACTTTTAATAATGTTATGTACTTATAATAGGTACCTATAGCACAAGGAGTTTTGATTTTACTTAATAAACTCTTCAAGGTAATTTTGCAAAATTATTCAAGGACTTCGACTGACCTTTTGGATTAAGCAAACACTTAATGTTCTTTAGAAATGAAGAGGGAAATTTTAACTAGGTAATTAAATATACTTTTTGTCACTTTCATTGCTTTGTTTATATTATTTTTCAACCGTCTTCAAAAAAAAAGGAGGTTCTCAATTCGATTGTATTTTTCTGTCTGTATCTCCTAACTTCATCAGTTTTTGGATTTTTTTAATTGATATGATTTATTTACAGATTGGTTTCAAAGCAATTTTATAAAAATTGGTTCAGTAGTTTTGTTTTTAAATTAAAATAACTGGATTTGTCTCAATTGAAGTCGGTTTTTTTGTAAGACACAATCTTTAATTATGTTTGGGACTTGTACTATAGGTATTTACCATATATTACTTATCAATATATTATTAATCAATATATTAATAGTATTAAATAATTTGTTTCAGAAATATTATTTTACTAGAGCTTATGATATATTAAAAAAACGGCTAATTTTTATTTTCTTCATTCTATTTTTTTTCAAGTTCTAAATGTAAAATTAAGATTATTTGTTTGTAGATCTTCGTTCATCCAATTTTCTTGAAATTTATTATAGGTATGCGTAGGTACTATTAATTAAGTACGACTTGGCATTGAAATGGATAAGAGTTACATTATTGGATTTATAGGTTACATTTAACTTGTCATAAATAAACAAAAAATAAAAAATAATGACAAATAAAGCAATTTTTAAAATTCGACAGGATATTTGTAAATGATATAAAGATTATAGTAATAGTGTGTACGTCAACTTTTTGTCAGTTAATTATTAAATTAAAAAGTTGACCCGTTTTGAGGCTCGAGGCTTTACCTATATAATCTAAGGTATCCCGGCATAGAATAGACCATCCCTTTCTTTCCCGTGGATGTCGTAAGAGACGACTAGGGGAACATAATGGTAAAGGAATGAGCAGCAGCGTTTCTCTTAAACATCACTGAAATTTTAACTGCGGTTGCCGACCTCCCTGTCAAGCGTGGCAATTACGTGCCAAACTCCCCTTTTGGGGAAGGCGTATGTTCAGCAGTGGTCAGTTAACGGCTGATATGATGATATATTCATAACTTTAATAGGTAAATTAATTTTATTTTTTTTCGGATTGGACTACAATCTTACCTGATGATGTATGTATGATGTATGATTACCTGGTGTATGACGATCAAATAATGTCTGTTCAATCTAGCTTTGAAATGTACTTTTATAATCCTGTGGATGTTATTGTTATATTCATTTAAAATTATTATTATAAAATTACTACTCTTTTATGATTAATTGTGTTTACTTAGGATTTAAAATTTAATACTTTTCCCCAAAAATAAGTAGGTACCTACATATTTTCTTGTCCGCCAGCTTTGTAGGGATTTTTAAACAGCGGCAATTTAATTTTATTTCAGCTCAGAGAGCAGTTTTGTGCCGCGCGGAGGATTTAGTTACAATATCGGCGATTGGAAAATCAGGCTAAGATGAGACTTTTTTGGCAATGACTTAAGGCTTTGCTTCCCTTTTTTGTTATTTTTTTATATGACTCCATCGGTATTGCAGCCAGCTATAAAAGAAGGTTTTAAAATCGCTTGTATTTTGTTGTGTGTATTTTACACAAATGAACATTCAGAAAATTGATGGTACAGCAAATAAAAATTAAAACAGTACAAAAATAGAAATGGGCAGTAGTTAAATTACATGCCAGGCGATAGGTAGACCAAAATATGAAGATCTTGGCTTCATTAAAATCTGAAGAGAGGTCGCAGACTTTGAATGTAATGGAGAGGCAATCTGGGCCAGTTCCGCCAGGACTGGTAAGTTTTGGCCAGTTACCGTGAGAAGTGGAAGCAGTTGCATTTTAGATTTTGATTGAATGATGATGATATTTCTATGATTCTGTTTCAATCCAAAGAGTTTACTCCCGTGTTGTTATATATATTAAAATAATAAATGATTTAGTTATCTGTTAACGTACATTTTTATATATAAAAATCCTTTGTTACGATACTCGTCTGTTCAAACCTTCGAAACTACTCAATCGATTTTAATGAAGTTGTATATTGTATGCTTCATGGGAGATAAGAGTTTTCAAACCGATAGGAAAAAATGGACCGGATAGGCAGTAAAACGATGGCAGAGTTGGCTTGTATTATCTGAATAATAATATAAGTATTGTGCTTGTCAGCAGCTTGACACATCCTCTTATCATCCAGAATTAGGGTGAGAGGGTGAGTCCGCTATATACTCAAAGGGGCAAGTGGCCAATTCCTTTTGGTCAAGAGATTATTTACCAATCTGGATATATATAAAACGAGGAAAGGTATACTTACGAAATTCTTTTTATATTTTTACATCAGATTTATATGAAAATGTTTTTATATGTACATTTTTATTCTCTGTTTATTTCAATAAAAATAAAAATAAAAATAATAAAAGCAAATACAGCAAAATGAATTAAAACATGAGAGAAATCACCGATTGAGGGGTTTCTTATTGAATTTATTTTGTTTAAGATATGAAATTGCACTATTAGTGTTATATAAACAGGCCAATTCATTACATTACCCAAAAAAGAAGTGTAGTATTTTCATTATTCATGTATGTATGTGAGTTGTATAACTTAAATGTTTACCTGAATAGATTTGGATACATGCAATATCTTTTAAATTCTAACATCTTCCAGCCATTTCTCTAAATTTAACTCTTAACCCAATATTATAATTTGATAATATT